GTGAAATAGATTTTTATGTTGAATGTTGTTGTGTTTTTATTGTTTGTTTTTTTTTTTTTTTTTTTTTTTTTTTTTTTTTTTTTTTTTTTTTTTTTTTTTTTTTTTTTTTTTTTTTTTTTTTTTTTTTTTTTTTCTCTCTTCTTTTCGTTTGTTTCTTCCTTTTTCCCTTTATTTCTTCTGGTTCTCCGTTCCAGAGTTCCGGGGAAGTTGTCAGAGAGGGGAACCCTTGGCATTGACTTGAACGCCGAAGCTCTGGTCATGTGTCCAACTCAAAACATCCACGTTTTTTGACAGTGGGGAAGCTCAATGGGGAAGTTCAACCAGCATCTGAACCCGAAGTAACACCTTAATACGAGTACTCCGTACTTCATACTGTACTCCAGAGGACACTGGGAGGCGCAGACTCCCTTCATTCCAATTGCTTGGCTCATCCACTTTCGGGATCCTCAGCCCTCTCAGCTGACAACATTAATAAAAGAAATTCCCCCAGCCAATCCCCGGGGCCTGGTTCCTTGTTTACCCTGAGCGCGCCCCCTTTTCCGTGATATTATCCGGGCAACCCGTGTCTCCGACCCCCATTTAAGAGGCGTGGGATGACCTGTTACCTGCGGTATTCACTACCCGATTGAGAACACGAGCTCAGAGCCTCTGCCCTTCAGTCTTGGCTTGTCGCGACGCGGAGCCATTGCCGACTCGATTGGGGTCGGACTGGTCGGACTGGTCTGACTTTAACCGATCATCCGTGAGCTCCGGATCCTGCACCCTCTGTCTAGGCTCCATCGTTTCGCGGTTGGAATCATGATGGGTTCAGTCTGGAGTCGGGCCATTCCAGAAGGCTAAACGCTCAGCCAAGTGGTCGCCCCCACGAAAAAAACCGGGGGTGAAAAGAAATTCGAAGGAACAGACTAGGAACATCCCCACATCGGCTCGGTTAGAACACCGGTGAGATCCCGAGTCGAGCCTCCGACGCCGAATGTGGTCATCGAACCGTGCATGAGCGTTTAGCCCTCGGAATTAGTCCGTGGATAAAGTAGAATACAGTAGTGCCATGCATTTTGGTTATGCTGGAACCATTTATGCTGGAGCGCATAGGGCTCAAATGCGCCCTCAAGCCTTCTAAGCCTTTTACGGCTATTCGGCCCGTTTCAGTGCTGCCCAGCCCTGTCCAGGTAGACTAACTAGTAGTAGTACGCCCGGGGGTGCTCGTACGACGTTATGTAAGCGTCTCTTTTAACCGGGCCTCTTGAAACCTCGGGGGAAACTTACCGACAATGAATATAAGCGTCGCAGGTCGATTGCCGTGCGTTGATCGGCTTCGGGGAATTTATTTGGGAATGCGGCCCGATGATGCCGAAGTGTGCCCGAGGTAACTTCGCCCCGAAGATCCATGGGGACCCAAGAGACCCTGGAGGCCATGTGGAAAACTCGTTCATGGGATTTGAGACCCACATTCAACAGTCACTAGTTATAGGGTCGATGATTTTAAGTCGTGGCGGTACTACCAGTACGTCTTCCTAGAGTACTGTAACCATAGTAGTCCGGTAGATACTACTACAGTACTTCTGCCAGTAGAATGTCAGACTTGGCTCTGTCTGATTGCCCTTCAATTTGCAGGTATCATCCATATACATGTATTAGGCTAGGTAAATACGTGATTTTATAAATCAAAAACAAATGTAACCCAAACGCCTATCCTTCTATATGACATCGCCAAAATGGTGCGAAAAACGGAAAAAGCAAAATGATTCTTTAAGGGCGGTTGAGCTGCTCGCGACGGTAGAACAGAAGGAAACCAAAGCTGTAATCACAGTTAGTACAAGGTAAAACGAATCAAAGAAGGAATGATAACTGACCTGGCCAAAAGCTGGAAGAAGAGCGCAATCCAGAACCACGCGTTGGCAACTGCGTCCACGGACGATCCAACCGGCGGGGAGATACTTCCCGGGCCGGTCTTGTTAGGCGCGAAGCCTCGAGCACAGATAGTAGCAATGGAACCAATACATTGCGCGGCCAACAGGACAAAGCAGACGTGCACTCTAGTCAAGGTCTGGAGAAGGATCATTCCAAGACCAACTTGCTGGATTTCGTCCAGAACACCCAGCCAGAGCCACAAGCATCGGGATGCAAGTGCTCCGGAAGTGAGACCTCCAGCCCATGGAAGGTAATATCCGATGTTGGAAGTTCCCCACCAGGTTTGGGCCCATCGAGGGGCTCCAATGCTCAGACCGAAGACCGGGAGGATCCAACTGTGTTCCTTGGACAGGAAACGGAAGAGGACCATGATAGCTACCCAGAGGATGACGAAGAAGAAGATGATCAACAGGGTGACCTCCCAGGCCTTGGTGTGCTGAGAAGTCCAGAGGAAGGACCAGTTTCGGCCGAATGCAGCAGCAAGGAACCAATTCTGGACGATGACCATGAAGAAAAACCAGAGCACAATGCGGCGGCGAAGCAGGGAACCGTAGAAGTTGAGGATCTTTCCAGGGGCTTGGCGGTAGTACTTGGGCAAACCAAGAGCAAGAAGAACACCGATAACCAAACAAACTGCGGCAATAGGCATCACCACAGCTGTGAGCTTCCACGAGTTCAAAGCAGCGGTCGACACACCTCCGACTTCCACGGCAGTGACTCTAGCACTCCAGTACCACAAAGCGACAGTGTAGAGCTGCGAAATTCCCTGGATCAAACTCGCGCGGAACATCCAATCCTTGACAGGCACGGCACCTTGGTCACCGAAGTTGAGGGCAAAGAACAAGGAACCACTGGAAGATGCGGCGGCATAGATACCCGCGGCACAGTTCTGCGCCCATGTCTGACCGAGGCTCGAAAGTGCGTATGGGGACACACCAATCGTCACGAATGCCATGGCGTAGATGAACCAGGGGAGAGTGAGAACGAAGACGGATGGCAGGGTGTAGTAGAGGAACCACCAGCAGATAGACGAAACACAGTAGATGGCTGCAATAACGTAGAGCTTGACAGCAGTCTCACCAATCTGACCTGTCAAAAGGGTGATTTGTGCTGAGTTCGTCGCAATGATTTGTCCAAGACCCAAGAACAGAGCGTAAACAGGCCAGTTACCGACACGCCATCTCATGAAGCGCTGAATAGCCATAGGTCTCTTGTACCCCAGACGAGCGAGCCAAACGTCGATCTCATCGGTATCGTTTGATTCCGACTCTTCGCCACCCTCGGTGACAAGGTTGTATGGCGTGTTCTCGACGGTCTGATCCAGGCCGGCTCCAGTCATAGGGCGTTCCTTGGGCTGCTTCTTCAACTGCGCATCGTTGTACATGTAGAAGAACTTGCGCTCACTCTTCATGAGATAAAGTTCGATACAGTAATCCGAAATCGAGTTCTTCTTATTCAGATTGGTGAGTTGCTGCTCGAAGTGTCTCGTGAAGGTACCCATGCTGTCAGTGAAGGTCGGGTCGACCTTTTGCAGATGGAAGTCGGGCGAGGCATGGTCTTGGACAACCGATGGCAGAGAGAGAACAGAGAGGTTGTTGGCATGGGCGAAAGGTGTGCTTGGGTCGGAGTGGTCACGAGAGATCCGCACGGGAGAGGAATCCCTGGAGATGAACCGCGAGGACTCCGATGCCGAGGAAGAGGAATCCTCGCGAGCGTGACCCAGGTTGCGAGGGTGTGTCGCGATGTCCTGAGTGCCGAGAGCGGAATTGACGGCGGCCATGGCCTCCTCTTGAGAAATGAAGTTCTCCTGCTGCGGGGTCGAGTAGCCCTCATCGTCGGCGTCGGTGGTGTCACCATCGACAGGAGGCTCGAGCATCTGACTCTCACGGGGTGACTTCTTGACGAGGCGCTTTCTGCCCTGTCCGGGTCCAGAACGGCGACCGAGCGACAGTTGGCGGCCCAGCATGCTGCTTCGGTTGCTTTCGGCTTGCATTTCTTGGGCTTCAGCTGCCTGGAGCTGAAGGAGCGATGGTTGGGCAGCTTGCGAGTTTCTGGAGGCATCCAAAGCTCCCGAGAGTGACACGGTTGAGCCGGGGCGGGTCATCATTGTGTCCCGCAAGCCCGGTGTTTCCCAGTAGATCTGGGACTCTCGGGATGGGCCAGAGACGGTGAGGGAGTTCTTCTGGTGGTGAATGTTGATCGAGGTTCTCTGTAGCACTTCAAGCTTCTGGACCCACTCAAGGACAGGGAAGCGCTGCTTGGCGGAGTTGGCACGCATCTCCGATCGGGTCTCTTGCGATGAATCCAAGGCAGATTTGATGGCGGTCCTCAGCTGGTGCAAAAGATGGCGAGCAGAGTCGGATTCGACCGTGTACCACCAACCAGGCATCTGACCTAGACCTCCAATACGAGAACCGATTCCAAGTGCACCCTTGCGACCAAACTCGACGGCGATCAGACCGAAAGGCTCGTCTCGGGATGGGATAAGGGCGAAGTCTGCACCAGAGAATACGAAGGGAGGCAGGACGGTAAACTCTGGCTTGGAGAACACACGGCCTGGGAACATTTCCATAATGCGTGCCAGCTTGATCGCAGCAAGCTTACCATAGAGATCAATGAGGGGACCGATACAGATCAACTGGACGTTGGGCCTAGCAGACAGGACTGCGGGCATAACATCCGCAATCAAATCGACACCCTTCTGCTTCGACCATCTTCCGACGAACACCAGCAGATCAGCCTCTGGGTCTTCCTTCAAGCCAGCCCATTTCTGGGCCTGAAGCTTGTCATTAACCGATTCATCAGCAGACTGTACTGTGACTTCCACGTTGGGGTCCTTCTTCAGGGCAGCAGTGTCAGAGGGATCGGGGTTAGGAAGACTACCAATCTTGCCGAGACTCCAGAAGATAGGGTAACGAGCCCACGAGCGCTTTCCGTACTTCTCTGACACGCCAACTGCGCCAAAGCCGCGTTGGTGGAATCGAAGGTAGCTAGCACCGGTGTGAAGAAGGTTGAAAACGTTGCCGAATTGACAGTACTTGGTCGCGACCTCGATAGGAAGGTTGAATACAGAGCAGACTTCCTTCTTCTCTTGCGCAGTTCTGAGAGCCCAAAGACCTTGGAACTCGGCGTTGTGCAAAGACAAGCAGACTGGGATGGTTCGAGACGGGAGAAGGTATAGAGGAGCGACACAGCCGTGGAAATCGTTGATGTGGTAAAGGTCGATGGAGGGAGTTCGCTTGATCGCCTCTGCGATACACTGGTTCCAGGCGGAATAGTAAATAGCACTGTCAAGATCGTCCATACGTGGAGGGTATGGCTCAGCCTTGGTCTGCTGTCGGAAAACAGGAGCATCGAGCAGCACGTAAGTAATGTTGTCCACAACGTGGTACTGCACGTTGACCGAGTAAGGCTTGTCGAGGATAGTCACCACGAAGGGTTCGGCGGGTGTGTCTTCGGGGTACTCAATATCACCGACACAGGGCACCACCCAGATGAGGTTTTGATGCTTGAGGTTCTGGGACATAAGCTGTGCCATCACTCCCAATCCACCAATCTTGACTTTGACCTTCCAGTCCTGAATGTCATACTCCATGGTAGCAATCAATACCGTGCGGCGCTGGTCGCTGGCTCCGGCCACGGCCATGGCACCCGGGAATCCCTTCTCTTCCATCGGGATGACTTCGCTATCCTTGTGGAAAGTGTCCTTCACTCTGCCCCAGAGGGCCACGGGCAAACTGTCCGCTTTGACGACATTGCCATCCTTGTTCAATTTGACGCGGTAGAAGTTTCTGATGAAGATGAAGACACCAGCACAGCCCATGAGAATCGGTACAACCCAGAGGAGAATGAAAAGGACCAGCTGAGCCCATCCCGATCCGACGGGGATCAACTCATATCGCAGATTGGCGTCATTGAGAGAGATAGTCCAGCCCAGATGGGGGAACGGTGGAAGCGCGGTGATGTTGATGACGTTCGATGAGAGATAGGAAGGAGGAAGCTTCTGGACCGATGATGAGTTGCCAACATCACCGTAGACCTCCGAAGTATCGGGGTCACCCTTGCTGTCCGCTCCCCAGACATTCAGCTGGCCAATGGCTGGCCACTCGTAGACAAAGTCGTAGTTCCAGCGAGATGTTTTGGCATTGTAGGTCATCTTGCTATCCAGTCCGGAATCATAGCCATACTGGTTGTACGGACCATTCCACCACAGGTGTGGGAATCGTCGGCCCGAGTTACTGGCGTAATCACCCTCTTGCATGTAGTCACTGCTTCCAGTGAGCCTGGAGAAGTACTGCACACGAATATGAGTTCCCTCCCACTTCCGGGACTTGGGGCCGTCGAAGGCCGGGATATCAAGAGTGGTCTTTCCGCCCTCGTATGTCGTCCAGTTGTTCCAGCTCCGACCGAAATCAGACGAGTATCGGAAAAGATCGGCACCGGCGGCGTTATGTTGGACATAGTAGTCGTCGTCGGACTTGTGGACAAGAGTGGAGGAGTAATTGGCAAGCGGGGAGATCAGAGGGTTATCATGGGCGCCAAGACGAATCAAGAACTTGTCGGTCGCATTAGTGTACACTCCAGCAGAAGAAACGTTCTTCACTGTCAGTTGGTGAATTCCATGGTGAACATTCTTCAGGCTGGCAGACCACGTCCAAACAGTGGGAATTTCTCCGACGAGGTTGTGGCTCGTGGTTCTGGCGTCAATGCTGGTACAAGTGATGTTGGATGTATCAAGCTCGGCGGTGATGTTCTTCTCTGTAGTGGAGTTGAGGTAGATTGCCTTTGTGATGCTATCACAATCCATCTCGGTGGAATAACCAAGCTGGATGGGCATCGTCTCGCCCGTATCCTCTGTGGAAATCAATCGAGCGTCGTGTCCAGGGAAGAAGTCGGTGACAGTGGGGCCAGGCTTCACGAAGTTGGCTGACTTGACGTAGGCACGGTATTCCCATGGAAGCAGCTTCACGTTGCGAGCACATCCGTAGTCGTTTTCGTCGCCCGAGGGTCCGTCTTCAAGTGTGATGTTATCATAGGGGTAGAAGAGGTTGGTCAACTTCGTGCCTGAGTCAAATGGAGCCAGCAAAGACGCATTCTTGTCCGTGCAATTGGTACCGTAAGTCTTTGTCTCGTTTCCGTTGTGGTACACAAGCCACAGAGTCTCGTTCGCCAGAATTGCCTTCTTTTGAACACCGGGGTAGTAGCTTCGCAGCACCGACCAGAGACCGGTGACGGTGGGCGTGGTAGAAGAACCGGGAAGGTAGATATCCTTGGTCAGCTGCGAGATTGTTTCGAGGTACAGACCATCTCGCGCGACAGGGTAATTTTCTCGAATCTCGAACATGCGCTTCATGATGTTGCGAATCGGGTGAGCAGGGTTCCGCTGGTCATACGTGACGGTGATATCGTTACAACCGTTGCGACCCTTGTCAATGGGGAAATCGTAGAACTTGGAGGTGTTCAGGTTGAAGCAGCCCTGTGTCCACCAAGCGGTCTGGTATGTCATGGGCTGGCGACCGAACATATAGTTGGATGCAGTGGCATCAAACACGTACATGTCCTGCTCTTCTCCCCACAAGATAAGAGGCACTCCAGGAAGTTCCAATGAGACGATGTATAGACCCAGCATGTATTTGTCTGTGCCGTTCTCAACCGCAGGCCAACGGAAGTTATCCTGGTTGGAAACACCGTACATATGTCTGGGATCCAGTTCGCCGGTGTTTGCGTTGATGAAATCGTTGTTTCGGAGCATCGCATTCCAGGCTTGAATGAAGTCGACAGGCAAGTCATATCCAGCAACCAGGTTACCGTCCATTCCAAGGAATCGAGTCATCGAGCGGTAGATAGTGTAATGGAAGGCAGAAGCATCCAGTGCCTGGAGTCCGTCCTCTCGAAGGAAGTGGGCATCCGAGTTGTTTGTCAACTTGACAGCCTCGCCCACGGTTTCAGGGCGTTGATTTGGCTGGCGTCCACGGCCGAGGTAGAGACTGCCGAAGTCATCTCCAGACGTAATTTCACCGGGCAGGAAGAAGTTCTTCTTGCCATATTTCAGCGCACATTCACGGTAAACAGCGAGCATTTCACTCAGGGGCTCGATCGTAGACTGCACACTCTTATCGAAACGGAAGCCGTCGACGTCGAGACTTGCGATCTGAAGGCAGGTATGTCTGGTGATAACGTCACGAACGGGCTTGTGCCATTCACGCAGACGATCCTGCACGGAGGCGAACTTTGTGAGCTGGCGCTGCCAGTCAGGGAAGTTACCGAACGCCTCAAGCTCTCCATATTGATCGAAATCACTGTCATAACAGCCGTGCAGATCTTGGACGCCCTGAGTGGTCAAAGGGTAACCGGTCTCGTCCCAGAATTTGGGGTAGTTGCAAGTCTCGTTGTATTCGTTGCTGAAGTTGAAATCGGCATATTGTCTATCGGTGACCCATTGAACTTCGTACTCGGATGCCTTGAAATCGGCCGAGTCGTTCAGGTGGCCTTTGAATCCGATCAAATTACTCAGTCTGTGGCATGGTCAGCTCACGGTCTCGAATTCCCAGAAAGGTTGACAGTGACGTACGTTGCGAGGGTGTTATCCATCAGGACATACATGTCCCTTTTGTGGATCTCATCGATGGCTCGTCTCCAATCCTCCAGTGTTCCGTAGTGCATATCAAGAAGAGTGGTGTCGACCGGCGAGTATCCATCGTAGGCCCAGGGCAAGTTCATCAAGTAGGTTCCGGCAAAGTAGATGACCTTTCAGGAGATTAGCGATCGGAGCATGCTGGGGTCGGGGCTACCAACCTTGAAACCCATTCCCTGGATATAGTCCAACGTATCTACCAAGCCATCCAGATCACCACCGTGGCGCATCTGGTTGGAGTTGACCACATGTTCGAATGCAGTCCCGTTAATATCATCATTCGTCGGATCGCCGTTGGATATCCGGTCCAAGAAGATTGTATATGTGGGCATCCGCCAGTTGTCTGGCGATGGATGGTATTCATGGTCCGGCCATGCTCCCCAATAATCGATCGGGCCGTCGGCGGTCTTGTTTTCGTTTAAATTATACTTAGCGAGAGGTTCATCATAAGGCCAACCAAGGACATGGGCGCTTAATAACGACAATATGAGGAATGTTGAGCGCTGCATGTTTCCGTATATAGTGGCTGCTATCAGCAGAAGCCCGGAAAAACGCGCGACTCAAAAAAAACGAATGAAATGAGACAGGCAAACACAAAGCGAGAGTGAGATGAAAGAAAGATCGAAAGCAGCAATTTACTCCCAACAACACAAGTTTTACGCATTTTTACTATGGTCCTTATCGGGCCGAGCGGATGAGAAGTCCCAATGTACAGCGCCCCACCTGCAAATCCACTTGGTCAGATTTTATCGATCCACTCGCCCTTCGTTGGTGGCTGCGTTTTACGCTGTCTCAGACAGATCCCAGGATTTTCGGAGTATTCCTGTCGTGTCACTATATTAACTCATATCCATGGATACTTACATAGTACTCCGTAAGACCTATTGTGTCTACCATGCGAGAACGACGGAGACTTCCAGCACTCTTCAAGGCTGGGCATGCAATGCGAGTATTGCTTAGCCATACTAAGTGTACTCGTATCACAAACCGGTGTGCCACATACGTACAAGCAGATTTTTAATCAGGTCCAAGCTCAAAGGGTCTTTTTCGATCCCGCTGGATCTCTGATACAGCCAATGATCAGAGCGGCTTATCTTTCGCCATCCGATGGTTTGGGAGGCAACCCCGATGACCAAAATAACTGTGCGGAGCAACTGCAATAAGGGTTTTCTCCCCTGATTCTACCGAGAACTGGTACGACTGTTAGATTCTTTACCATGGGCAGGTTTGGTGGATTTCAACTTATGATTTTTTTTTTTTTTTTTTCTTTTCTTTTTTTTTACTTCGGCACTGTCCGCCTCCGACGTCACAGCTAATGTTTCAACCTTCATCAACTAGTACAGTTCGATCTGAATCAGGGTGAACAACCCCTACGGGAAATGCTATATTCGTCCACAGACGCGTACTACTGTATTGGAAAATTCGAAATCCTGCAGACTATTCTACCAGTAAGTATGAGTCCGGAACCTTCCAGGCCTACACCGATACATTCCCTTGCTCCAATTGGTGCGGATCTGATCTCTCATATCTACGATGTGACCAAATGTGCCCACCGTACATGCAAGTGTATTCCGTCTGTACCTAAGAATAACCCATCACCCGGCTCATGAATCTGAGGACGGCATCTTTTTCTACCCGATGTGCTAGTAATCTAATCGCGGGAACCACCCGACGTTACGAGTCATGGATGTTGGCCCCCGGGGGATACGTTTCACTCTCGTTTCTCTGTCGCGTCTTTGAGGTCCCAGGTCCCCATGTCTCAGGCACCCATGAACGTGGCATGGAGTGTATGACTCGAAATCCATGCCAGATGCATAATTCAACGCCCGTGCCGCATTCCTGGAATCTTGAGGGCAGCGTGGCTGAAGCTTGTTTCGTATGCTAGTTCTTCGTGGTGATATTAAGCGAGCGCCGCATTTCTTCGGCCCCCTGTACACTGTGCGGTACCGATACCGAGTTCAGAGATAAATTTAGTCAGGGCTAAATATAGTGGAGGATTGGGAACAGACCATTGGTTGCCCGGCCCCATATGATAGCTGTCTAGTGTCGAACGCCCCATGCCGAGTGGATTCGACTTCGTTTCACTCAAATCAGAGCAATTTATTCAACAGCCTCGAAGTCTGTAGGAACAAGCTAGAGCTCATCTGCGCTAGTCGGTTTCGGATACATGTATTGTAACCAAATGTCTTGCCCGGGAGGCGTTGGACACTGCAGCATGTTGTACTTGTAACCTCTCCCCAAACTTGTTGGGTTTTTATGTGTCCATGAAATTGGGTGAACTTCCTTGCCTACGGAGTATACACTCCTTACTCGGGATTGTTGCGTATGAACCGCTCATTTATCTCGCAGAGCGTGAGTTGAAGCCTTCAGGTACTCCGTACTCTACATACAAAAGATCCGTACCTAAACCCGTACTTGATCGCATGTTAAGGTCATGTACGATACGTTGTACTAGTAAACAGGCATCCAGCATTGCAAAGACCATACTCCGTTTGCGATCGTGGAATACATTGGACAGTGGCTTCCAAGGTTTCTATTTGGCCCGGAAGGCGTGCGATAACATCCGATTGCGACTAAATAGGCAAATGGCTGGTGGTCAGCACAAACGTCTGAGTCCGGTGTAACCTGGTCAAGCCACAAACGGCTCTCAAGATTCTGGGGTGATCAAGTGTGCAAGTTAGCCTACACGACATTTCCATTCGTCCCATTTCTTCAAGGACGATTCGGAGTACATATTACAAAGTCTCTCTCAATAGGACTGGTGATAGAATTCACCATCATTTCCCAATGAACATGCCCAGGGGAAACAAGTTGGAAGAACTTTGAAAGACTTATCCATATTCTGCATTGAAGGCTCAGTCTGGTCTAGCTTCCCTTGCCCTTTGAATCGAAGAAAAATTCACCAACATCAACAGAATTCTTCGTCCACCAGATATATCGCTTCACTCGGGTGTAGACTTCCGGCAGGCATTCGCCGACCGCTCAATAGCCGACCAACACCAAGCCTCAGCGATTCAAAAGCATTCCATCGTAGAGCAGTAGAGCACACATCATGGACACATGCAAAGAGCAACCCCAGATTGAGGACTGGCACCTGATTGGCCTTCTTTCGTCCTTCCCCGACATTAGCCAAGACAATGAGCGCTGTCATGTCTTACCCGCCTGCAAGACCCTCAGCGTTCCCAACGCAAAATCAGCACAATCAAGAAATCGCTTATCAGATCTAAATGATCAGGTGCTCGTGTTCAAATACAAGGGATTTTTGCATGCCATCGATAACGCATGTTGTGTGCCCCTCTCTCTTGGCTGTAGGCTTACCGTCACTAGCAATGCCCGCATTCGTCCTTCCCGCTAAAACAGGGCAATGTTTTTGATATCGAGGATATTGGGACGCCACATGGCGCTGGTATTCGATGTTTTAGACACGGATGGAAGTTCGACCTCTTCACTGGGAAGGGGGATCGTAGGCCTCACAAGCTGAATTTGTGGGACATTGAACTTCGGGATCTCGAGGCATCTGCGGGCGCTGACAAGGAGGTTTGGGTCAGGAGATCCCCTCAAGCCCCGAACTAAAGGGATTCGGAGTCTCGGGGCATGGTGCAATTCGTATTTACAGAAAGCGGAAGCGAAATCTATACCAGAAGCGTTCGGGTTCAAGACAGCATCAATTGCAAAGCGCTATTGAAGAGGGTATATTATGAGATATCATAATAGATTCCGAAAAGGATCCAAGGAAACATGGTACAAGAGAAGGAATAAACCAAAATCAAGGAATTATAAAATTAGAGATCAATGTCATCAGCGGGCGCCCGGTGCAGCCGGGTTTACACGAAGAACCTATACGCAATTAGTGGCTTTTCCTTGGCGATCTAGAACGAACACATACCAAGCCGCAATGGCGATGATCAAGTACATCATCATCAACAAGACACCCTCAAGCCAGTGAGACTTGCCGTCGCCAATGAGATAGTTCACCTGGAAAGTGATGTTAGAAAGGCTATCATCTTTATCCCAAAACGTGGAGTTAACTTACCAAAAGAACAGACATGAAAAGCACGATGACTTGGAATCCATCAAAGTTCAGTGTCTGTCATAGTCAGTATTCATCGTATGTTTGTTGAGATCCAATATTGAGCATACCATGTCATCAACACCAATGATCCACCCAAGAACGATGATCAGAGGCAGCACAAGTAGCGCAATCTGCATACTCGAGCCAACAGCAACACCAATGGCAAGATCCATCTTATCCTTGCAAGCCACCGTCACAGCGGTAGCATGCTCGGCAGCATTGCCAACAATAGGCAGAAGGATCAGACCAACAAAGGTCTCGCCAATGTTACCAGTTTGTGTCAAAGCATCAATAGAGTCAACCATGAACTCGGCGCATGCAGCTACAAACGCAGTTGAGATGAGCAGTGTAAGCAAAGCAGTGGCGATGGAGAGCTGTGGCTGCTCAGGCTCATCATCTGGATCCTCCATTTGCATGTGGTCTGAGTTCTGGCCGACCAATGGCGCAGCGGTCATTTTGCCGATCTGAGCAATCCCCCGGCTGGCGTCTCCTTCGCTGACACGGGCTCGTCGTCGCTCGACTTTCGGGCTCGGGCGGTTGTACATGTCTGCGTGGGATTTGAGTTGGAAGAAGAGATAGCAGCCGTAGACAATTAGAAGAAGAACACTGGTTCCTGTTGAAATTCGGTTAGATATCATCATGGTCAAACACATGCGACAGGCGTAGCCTACCTCGAGACAAAGCGGCAGTTCCGTCGCCGTTGGAAACTATAATTTTAAGCGTTAGTTGATACTTCTAATCCAAATTGAAGACGGTGGAACTGACTATCGGACCACCTGTGGTAGGCAGTAGGGATGATCAAACTGCTGACGGCCAATGCCAGCATACTCGCGGCCGTCTGGGCAACTGTAACGTTGAAGTGCTGCTCCATACGGTCGATTCCGCCGAAGAAGAAGCACATGCCCATGACCAGCAGCAGATTGGACAACATACTTCCAATGAGGGAGGTTTGTACAATAAGGGTCTTGTTCTTGACCAGAGCGATGATTGCAACAATCAGTTCGACGGCATTACTGCAGAAATAGTCAGCGTCTGATCAAAGTCCGAAGTCCCAAAGGAAGCCGTAGAACATACCCGAACGAAGCATTCAGCAGGCCACCAATGGTTTCACCCGTGCTGGAAGAATGTAAGTAAAAATCTGTCGGTTTCTGGTATTCTGGGGGCATACCGGAGGGCAATTTCTTCAGTTGCAAAACTCAACATAGCAGCCAAGGGACTAATAAATGGGTTAGTGATACGAAAAGTGTCGAATCCATAGAAGATGCTTACATGATAGCAATGAAATTGACGACGAAAACCGCAATTGGATTAGCACCCACGGCGTAGAGGGCAACTGTGCAATGTTAGCAAATCCAATCCACCCAGGTATAAAACACGATTGGACAAGGTCTGCGTACTTCCAACTGGCGCGGCAACCAAGAGAATATTAATCCACGAGTTCAGAATAGTAGCTCGAAGCTGCGAGGCGAGGGTGAACTTCTGCGTCTCCGACAGCGACGACTTCTTATCGTCATCCGAGGTATCATCTCCATGGCTGAACTTGCCCAAGAACCCACCCTTACGCTGGCGGGGAACTCCAGACTCCTCAGACTCATCCAGTCCGCGCGAGACATTGATGGGATCATGGCTCTCGACAGAGGGCTCGGGCGGAGATCGATGGGTGCTTGGGGTACCCAGGTCGCTTCCAGCTGATTCCGGAGGGAAGCTGCCAGAGTAGTTCGGGCCCGTGAGGTCGTGGTTCATATCATGTCTTCGGCGACGATCTTCTGACAGATCACCCAGGCTGCTGGATTTGAGGCCGCTTTCAAGTTGCATGGAGTTGGAGCGTCGGGGGTGTCGCTGGCGACGGAACTTCTTGAATGGATTGTGCGACGAAGCTTCGCCTTCTTCGTCGTACCAGGCGAGATTGCGGGCCTGTCGGCGGTAGATATCTGAGGCTATCAGCATGGCTGAGGAACTGTGCTGGTGTGTCGAACTTACGCATGATGGCGGGTAGTGTCTAAACGTCTAGAGAAACGCGATTGTGAGTATGGTTGCGCCAGGAATAAGAGAAGAATTTTAAATAGGAATAGATATTGGGAGCGAGTAAGGCAACAATGGAGTATGATTTCCAATGGAGCCACGCCACAGTACGTGGCTTAGGCGCTCAACAACGATGCCTATGGGAGTGGACCGAGAGAACACGTACTCGGCAATAAATTGAGATGGGGCCTTTCAGCGCAGTCGTGAGGCTGAGGCGTATAGGTGTTGGACTAGACGCTGAACTGATGAGCCGCAGGTAACAGCCACAATTGAAGCAAAATGGCGGACCCGCGATGTTCAAGGACTTCCAACCCAAAATTGACACGGCCACAAACAGGGGTTGGGTCAGAGGATCGCGCCGAGGTAAGGGGTAGGCCGAAGATCAACAAAGAGGTAACGAGCGAAATTTCTCACACAACGAGAAAGAAGAAAAAAGCAAGGAAACAGAAGAAAGAACGAGCGAGAAATGAAGGGATAGAATTCGGCCGGTACCAATTTGCAAGATTTGCTGAGGGACTTCGAGAAGAGGTTTGAGGTGCACAGCCACACTAGTCCAGGTCGATCGCGATAGCGCGGGTTAGTGTGAATTAAATGAGCTTGGCACTTGAGCACAAGACAAAAGCAAGCTTGAATCGCACTGGAAAAGATGGTAAGTTGGCTATGGACAAGTTGGTCCGCGTTTGGAGCGCAGTTGGGCTGACACTGGCAGTTGGCAGCCTGCGTCAGATGTCGCTTTGATGCTTGGTGCGTTGGAAACACGAAACAGGCGGGCGCCACTCCAAACCTTGGAACGCAAAGCTTTGTTTTGCTTGGTGTGCTTGGTTGACTTGGACTTCTTGGCAATCAATCCCAACCCTGGCGAATGGAATTGTCACACCGCATCACCAGCTCTGGAGATCTCTCATGTCTCTGCAGACGCTGACGTAGCGGCACCCAAAACCCTCACTATGAGGCCATCATTGGGGGGAAGCATGATCCCAAAGTGATAGTGTGGTCCACTCTTGGCAGGACTTCAAGCAATCAGGGGCAATGGAATGGAGTCGGGACGCCACAGGCCCCCCTTTCTCATTTCTGTGGCTTCGTGGGTCACGTGTCTGTGAGTTGCCCGTCTGTGCGGTGCACTCTGTAGGCGCCCTTGGTGTTAGGCCTGGTGTTAGGCCCAGGATGGTCAATTCTGGTTTGTATGACCCAGTCCATATTGTGATCTTGGTAGGCAAGTTGCTTGGTGATGTTTTCCGACTGCAATGAGAGAGAAGTTTGGGCCTGTAGCGTCGGTGGCTTGGACTCTTTGACCCCTCTAGTTGCCAGTCGTCATCGGCAAATGCGCAAAGCGCTCGATGCAGCAAATGGGAATGACATTGGTGTGAGCTCTTTGGCTCTTTTCAGGGTTCAGTTCTCTGAATCTGCTGTTTGGGTGAATTCTGTTGATCTGCTGATCCTGCTGATCCTGGTCTCGTTAGTATTTTTGGCTATCCATTGCAGAGCGCCTGGTCGGATTAGAGGGCATGGTCATGAAGACCCGAAAGACAAAATATCAAGAGGAGGAAAAGGACTATGGAAGAGAAAACTCAGCCCTACGGGACGGGGGCACTTCGGTGGCCCACAAGGCTACGGCTAATGGCTGTTGCCTGCGTTCACTAGCGCCCTTGGAATGTTGGCCTGGGCTCCGTAGATAGACCCCTCTCTTCTCGTCAAGATATTTACTGTATTGATTCCTCCAAGACGTGCTATTTCGGACTTTTGTGCTACGACATCCTGTTGTTAGGCGCTTACCTCTTGGACCTACCCAGTACTACCTATTGGACATACAAGAACCTTGGCACTGGGATCTCACCTAGGCAGTCAGCAATACGGGGCCGGATAGACTTGTTTTCGAATATTCGTTCAAAGCGCGCTAGGGATAGCATGGTTATGGCCCCAGACCCCTAGCCTGAGACTACATTTGAAGTCTCCGCACGGAGTACCTACATAAAGTCAGCCTTGTACCTCATGCCCGGTGCGATTCACCCACCGTACAGAGTACGAAGTACCTAGGTATGAAATCCCATGATGTCTTATCCAAAATAATTGAATTTTCAACGAACCCCGGGAGCTACCAACCTTTCCTGAATCTCGGCGTGTCCCGAGGTCTACTGTATCCATAGATGCAATGGCCCGGTGTGGATATATATCCTGGATCAGAGCCACGACGGTCCACCTGGGCACACAACAGCCCTGGAGGTTCATACCTGGGTACCCAGGTGGATATGTAGACTCGGGAGGCCACCCCGTGCTGCACAATTCAATCATACTACTAGGTAGATCCAAATCCCAGCCCTAAAATATATAACCTTGGAAGAGGTAGATCTCTTCCAAGGATGATTGTTTACTGCCAAGACGTTTTGACATGGCATGCGACTTCGGCATCATCCAAAATTTATCGGGTTCTGGTATATCAGAGAAAGTCGCAGATGAAAATCCAGTGGAGTACAACCTTGGAAGATCCAGGGGCGATCGGGTTTCCCTACCTAGTACACTGCGCTAAAAGTATGTACCAAGCTGCGTACTCCATACTACGAGATAGCCTCCCTCCATGCCAAGTACAGTAACCACCTAGGTAGACAGACGGGGGTGAATCAGATGCCCTCAGAATAGATATGATATTGAGAGATTCTTCAGAGTGGTGCTGGGTCCTCCACATTCTGTATGGACGATTGAACGATCAAGAGAGTGTGATGTTGGAAACGCGCTTTAACAGAGTGCTGGTACTACGAGTGCCCCTTCGGAGTACCAGTACTGGTCATTCCAAGCCAAAATGTCGCAGTGCATAACGCAAGTAATGGTGTAATGAACTGTACTGTGCAGTACTTACGACGAGTACGGAGTAGAGTGTTGTGATCGCAAGCCTCCAAGGTTATCTGCAGGTACATGAGCAGAGCCACGTTGTCGCGTCGAGCCAACCCCCCCTGATTTGTCCTCACCGATCATCGAGGGAGAAAATGTCTCATTGAGCGCATCGAGCGGACGATCACAGACGCCGAACAAATAAGAGATATGGCTTCAGTGTGTACATATGGAGGATGCTCAGGTGCCCAGTGCCCTGGTGGGACCCACATCTGACGTGATAGGATAGTCAGGGGTAACCAGCGGATCTACAGAGTGTAGAGTACTAGTACAACGTACTCGTACTTCGAGAAAAACTTAAAGCAACCCCATTAGACGGGATACTAGCACGGAAATCGGATGAATACTAGCAGGGACGGGTACCTCGTACGCGCGTTTTGCCTAGGGTGGCTGGCTCCCACGGGTAAGATGAAACCCATTTAAGATGTGACACTGTGCCGTCTGATCGTCCGTGCAAATCTGCAAATCAGTGTCTTGCGAAGAGAGCTTAAACTTTGGACAACATTGTAGGCAACACTTTTCGCTGAATTATGGCGCGTAAAAATAGCCGGAGTATCGACCCCAATGGACAATAGTACCCTATAGAGCGGATCACGGACATTAATTCAGACGCGTTTCACTACAGTAGTGCTATGGACAGGAATATTATTTGAGACATGGGAAAGGAATTGGCCAAGAGTGCCCAGCCCGCCCAGCCTGCCCAGACGGGCTCAGCAATTCTTGAACATTGCAAGCATTGATCATCCTTGGCAACAAGAGACAAGCTTTTTAACTGACGCATCGATTGATTGACAGACTTGTGCCGTAGAGTCGTACTAATGGATCTTACCATACGGCCCAAAGCCCCAAAGCCCCCGAAATGAAGAGGAAATGAAAGAGTGAAAAGCCCCCACATTTCCCGCCAGTCAGGGTCTCTCCAGGGTCTGCGAGGGTCTCTGAGAGCCCCCGAGAGTCCCTGAGGGTCCATCGGCTGCCCGCGGGTTTACTAGCGCATACACCTGTTTCAGGGGCCGAGTGGCAAAGGGGAGAAATGAGCGAACAGAGCGAACGGCGACGAGAGAAAAAAGGGATAGTGGAGCAGAGAAGACCAATGACGTCGGACGTGGATTTCACACTGTACTGCCCTCGACCAATCAGAACATGTAATTGACGACCCAAAAAACAAACATAGAACAGCCCCCTTGACCCCTTCACCTTTTCTCCTTTGCTTCTTCACCTTCCTTTCTTTTTCCCACTCATTCGTTATAACTAGACGGTGGTGTGTACCCGTCCGTTTTTCAATCGCTTTACACAATGAAGGCCTCTATCATTGCCGGTCTCTCCATCCTCGGAGCCGCCGTGGCTGCCGACGTGCCCAACATTGAGATCAAGGGCAAGAAGTTCTTCTACGCCAACAACGGTACTGAGTTCTTCATTCGTGGTGTCGCCTACCAGCCTGACTACACTGGCGGTAACGGCGGTGACACCGAGACCTCCTACACCGACCCTCTCGCCGACGTGGACTCTTGCAAGCGTGATATTCCCTACCTCACCCAGCTGCGCACCAACGTCGTCCGTACCTACGCAGTCGACCCGAAGAAGGACCACGATGAGTGTATGCAAGCCCTCGCCGATGCCGGTATCTACCTGATTACCGATCTGTCCTCGCCTTCCGAGTCCATTGTCTCGGACGACCCCACCTGGAACGCCGACCTGTTCACTCGCTACTCTCAGGTCGTCGATGCCTTCGCCAAGTACCCCAACGTCATCGGTTTCTTCGCCGGTAACGAGGTTGCCAACAAGGTCAACAACACCGACTCGATGGCCTACGTCAAGGCTGCCGTCCGTGACATGAAGTCCTACATCAAGGAGAAGAACTACCGTAGCTCCCTGGCCGTGGGTTACGCTACCGATGACGACCAGACCGTCCGTGAGGGTGTCTCCAACTACCTGGTCTGTGATGATGCCTCCGACTCCATTGACTTCTTCGGTTACAACATCTACGAATGGTGCGGTGACTCTTCCTTCACCAAGTCCGGCTACTCCGAGCGCACCAAGGAGTTCGAGGACTACCCCGTCCCCGCCTTCTTCTCCGAGTACGGCTGCAACGACGTCCGTCCCCGCAAGTTCACCGATGTCCCCGTCCTCTACAGTGACAAGATGACCGATGTCTGGTCCGGTGGTATCGTCTACATGTACTACGAGGAGACCAACAAGTACGGTCTTGTCTCCGCCTCCGGCGACAAGGTCAGCACTCTGTCCGACTTCAGCTACCTCTCCAAGCAGATGGAATCTGCCACCCCCTCCGGTGTCGTCTCCAGCAAGTACTCTGTGACCACCACCGCTGGCCGTAGCTGCCCCACCGTCGGCTCCGACTGGAACGCCGCCAGCAAGCTGCCTCCTTCCCCCAACGCCGACCTGTGCGAGTGCATGTACAACTCCCTGGAGTGTGTCCCTGTCTCCGATATCTCCAACAAGAAGATCGGCTCCACCTTCTCCTACCTCGGTGGTGAGGATGGTGTCATGGACGGTGTCAACTCTAACGCCACCTCCGGCAAGTACGGTGCCTACTCCATGTGCTCTGCCAAGCAGCGTCTTGCCTGGGCCATGAACCAGTACTACCAGAACAACAAGGGCAAGGCCGGTGCCTCTGCCTGTGGCTTCAGCGGTGCCGCCTCCACCAAGAAGGCTACCTCCGCCTCCGGCTCCTGCGCTACCCAGATGAGCTCCATCGGCTCTAAGGGTACCAACGCCGTCTCTGCTGGTCTCGCTGCCAGCACTGGCGCCGCCGCCTCCGGCACTGCCGGCTCCAGCGGTGCTACTTCTTCCGGTATCGCCGTTGGCACCGTTCCCCAGTCCGTTCACATCGGTGCCTTCCAGGCTGGCGCCTACGCGGTTGCTGCCATTGCTTCCGGTGTCTTCATGATCATGCTTTAAGCGTGTCCATAGACGTTATATACCCATAGACTGCCCCCACTTTTTGGTATCATGGGAGTGCTCATTCTGTAACAACTCGCGTACATAATTCTTTTACAACTGCCAACCGGCGTTTCTTTTTTCAGAAACTTCAATATCTCGCACCTCGTATGTTTCCTCGATTTCTTGTAGCTTCGTACACTACGTCTATGCCTCGCACGGAACCTAGGTGGCATTTCAAGTCAAACATACACATCAAGCAAGTTTGCTATGCCATTTGCATTTGCCTGATTTGTCGGCATACATCGTAGGGGTGGTACTCCATCCTCCGTAGTTCGTCCGCAGAAGCAATTAGAATTGCCACTAGTAGCCCGTATTACTGTACGGGTAGATCTTCTCCACTTAGATCCAGACTGGCTCTACTGAGTAGATCATTATCAGTATACCAGTAATGGTTGAGTGACTTTCAGCAATGACCCTACCATAGAGAGAGAGAGAGAGAGAGAGAGAGAGAGAGACGAAACACCTGGGCAAAGTGTTTGAGAGAAGTCCACGGGTCCCGAGCTCCCAATCAAGAAGCCACCTACTCTGGTTCCCCTAGGTATAAATCTTCATCTTTCCACTTCTCTTCTTCTCTTCTCCGCTTCTCTCTCATGGGCCCTCGGAGAAAATCCTCCAGGGCGCGGGCGGGACGGTCACAGACGTTTGAACTCGGATCCTGAAAAAAGCAAGGGGGCTTGCGGTCGATATCAACTCTGAGTCCTGTGCGAGTCGGCGAGCAGGTGAAGGTAGCACGGAGGCGTCCCGGACCTTGTTGGTCCTGCACTGCTACACACAGGACACATGTGTGGTCTCGTAGTGTAGTGTAGTATAGTGTGTCATGAAGTCTCACTGTGAAGCTATTCCCATTTGTCTGTATCCTCTACCCTTTGTGCCCTGTACCATCCTGTGCCTCCTGCTGCCTGTGATTCTGTATGCCACTCGGCGTGTATTTAAGTAGTGTCATATGGAAATGGTATCTCTTCATCTCTTCACTGTATGTTTTACTGACGGTGGAAACAGAAGCTGGAAACTTGGATCCAACCAGAGCGTATCTCGTGCTCACAAACCCATCTGACCTTAAGTCTCAATCCACTCCATTCTAACCTTCTTCCCTTCATTCACCACTCTCACCCACCATGGAAGCTATCAAGAAAGCGTTTGAAGCAAGCAAGACACAGCAACGCGTTGCACTGATCACTTATGTGACAGCCGGATTTCCCACAGTAACTGACACCCCCAGCATCATGCTCGCCATGCAAGCTGGTGGCGCAGGTACGCATTCAAAGCTCATCCGCCGATCAAAACAACTGATCATCATTGACTGATTTGAATATCCAAACAGACATTATTGAGCTCGGGATTCCCTTCAGCGATCCGATGCTAGACGGACCAACTATTCAACGCTCCAATGCTCGAGCCCTCGAGAATGGTGTCCGGATCCCCACCATATTACAAATGGTCAAGTCAGCCCGCAATCAGGGTCTTAAGGTCCCCGTTTTGTTGGTGGGCTACTGCAATTCTATCTACGAATACGCGTTCGGGGAAGAGAAGCTTCTGCGAGACTGCAAAGCTGCCGGGGTGGATGGGTTCATCATGATGGATTTCCCGGACGATGAGGCTGTGCGGTTTAGCAACTCGTGCAAAGCCAAAGGGTCTGCAGACCCGACTTTTGGGATTTCAAACTCTGGCTAATGGAAAATATAGGCTATCTTACATCCCCCTCATCGCCCCGACCACCTCAGACACCCGCATGGAGAAGCTTTGCAGCTCTGCTACCTCATTTGTCTACGTTCTCTCCCGCGTGGCGCCTGACGAGGCCCAGGAGGATTTGGATGATGGACTGAGCAATCTTCTGGATCGTGTCCACAAGTTCAATGGAGACGATATCCCAGCAGCTGTTGATTTCGACATCAGTACCCATGAGCAGTTCATGGAAGTTGCTTGTCTCGCCGAAGGTGTGGTGATCAGCAGCTTTATTGTCTCTGTTCTGGAAGTGGCACTCCAAGGCACCGGTTCGCAGTGTGTGAAAGAATACTGCCTCAACGCTGCTGGACGCGCCGAAGCTAGCATCATCATACCTGAACGGCAACGTGTTCGACAAATCATATCTCCAACCACCGTCTACCTTGCCAGTGACGATGGAGCCAACGACATTGAAGGAGAATCTGAAGAGATGCCGGAAATCAGGGTGGAATCAGGCGCCAACTTCCGCTGGGGCGAATTTGGAGGTCAATACGTTCCAGGATCGCTGATGCCCTGCCTCGACGAGCTTGAAACGGCCTGGGATGCCGCAAACGCCGATCCAGCCTTCTGGGCCGAAATCGGCTCCCATGCCGGCTACATCAACCGACCATCTTCCCTTCACGAAGCCCCCAGGTTGACGGATCATATCGGTGGTGCCCGTGTTTGGTTGAAGCGCGAGGATCTCAACCACACTGGAAGCCATAAAGCCAACAATGCCCTAGGTCAGATCATCCTAGCCCGCCGCCTCGGCAAAACATCCATCATCGCCGAAACTGGCGCTGGCCAGCATGGTATCGCCATGGCTACCCTGTGCGCCCAGTTCGGGCTTAAGTGTACCATCTTCATGGGATCCGAGGATCATGAGCGCGAAGCTCCCAATGTTTGCCGCATGCGCATCCTCGGCGCAGAAGTCATCCCAGTCGATGGCCCCGACGGTAAAGGAAACCTTCGCCATGCAATTAACCAGGCATTCCGGACCTGGGTCACGGATCAGGAAACGACCCATTACGCCATTGGCTCAGTCATCGGTCCGTGGCCTTGTCCGATTATAGTCCGCTCGTTCCAATCTGTCATTGGCACGGAGACCCGGGCTCAATTCCAGACTATGAATGGGAAACTACCTGATGCTGTTATTGCCTGCGTGGGCGGGGGATCGAATGCCGCGGGCATGTTTCATGCATTCCTGAAGGATTCGAGCGTTCGCTTGATTGGAGTTGAGGCAGGTGGCATTGGCGAAGAAGATGGAGAGCATTCTGCGAGTTTGACTCGAGGATCTGTTGGCGTTCTACATGGCGTGCGAAGCTATGTGCTCCAGGATGGGGATGGTCAGATTCAGAACACGCAGTCTATCTCGGCGGGTTTGGCCTATGCTGGGGTTGGTCCTGAATTGTCGAGCTGGAAGGTTTCTGGTAGGGCCACCTTCATCTCGGTGACTGATGAGGAGGCTTTGGCAGCTTTCAAATTGCTGAGTCGGCTGGAGGGCATAATACCGGCACTTGAGAGTTCTCATGCTGTTGCCGGGGCTCTGAAAGTTGCCCAGGAAGTTGGGGTTGGCGGAGATGTGATCATTTGCCTGAGCGGAAGGGGAGATAAGGATATTCATAAGGTTGCCGATATGTTGCTCGAGGCGGACCTTGCGTTGTAGGGTTTGGGAACTGTGTCCACTAGTGGCTAACTTGAGTAGCTTCCAGATGCCTGCAGCTGATCGTGTCTATCTAAGGCTCTATTTTAGGATACATCCCTTACCAACCAGATCAATCATTTACCAACCGCCAGGGCCCATTTCATGTCGACCTCGAAACTTGAAAGTTGGATAGACGCCAAGAATTTTGCTATTAAATGGTACGATCTGATCTTGGAAAACGAACGATCTTTTGAGTAGAACGTATGCCTGAAGCATCAGCCCTGTGACTCTTGCTGAGATGAACCTTCGAGAAAGTTCGTACTGCAGCCTTTTGGATTTATTCCCCAACCAGCCTTCGGCCCTCTTCGCTGGACCCAAGGCTCACGAATTGGATCTTGCGAATAGCAGGCCCTTTCCACATGAGCAGCATCACAAACATGAAGGAGAACACGGCAAAAAACGCCATCATCCCGTAGACCCAACCGACATCAACAGCTGCAACCCAGGGGTTGATGTAGAAGCTGATGGTTAACCCGTAAACGATTCGGTAGGCACCGATGATGATGCCTGCTTCTGCGGGATACTTTGTAAAACACTCGACAACGTAATTGACTGTGACGGGCACACTGGCCAATGAGCCAATTGTGACAATGAACACCGCAAGCGCCAAAACCATATAGTGGAGGTGATACTGCAGCGCAGCTCCAAAAATCCCCAGGCCAATTGGGTTCAAAACAAGACTGGGAAGCCACAGTACGTGCAGACGATATTCAGGCTTCCAGACACCGCCGTTGTATCTCCGTGCCAGTGCAAGTGGGAGCCTATCGTTCAAATAGTGGCCGTAGAATTGAACAAAGATAATACCGATCCAATGGCAGAATGTGAATGCAGCATTCTGCTCTAGCGAAAAGCCATAGCCACCTTCTGAAACGGGCTTTTGAAGCCAGACCGGCGTGAGAGCATTGACACCCACGTAAAACCCAAATGAGATGAGTGTGAATATACCCATGATGATTGTGACAGGGCAGATTCCAATTAGGAAAGGTGTGATCGCAACTTTGCCCTATTGCTCTGTCAGCTAGGGACACAACCTTGAACCTTGGAAGTCAGCAAACTTCTTGTGACTTACCGTCTCTCTCCAAGTAGTCGGTAACACAACCTTTTGCCCAAAGAAAAAAGTCGCAAACCTATTCGCAACTATTCCACTTGGGATATCAGGGTTGCGGTCCAATGATTCACGATCGAATCCGGTTTCCTCGAGGAAACAAAAGCAACATATAAGCGTGAAGCCCAACAAGCCGACCGTCCACCAGAATTCTACTGGAAAGAAGGAGTGCGCTGAAACGAAGCCCGAAAATGTCGGACCGGCAATGGTGCCGAACAAGAATGCCATGTGCAAGACGGTGAATGCGCGACCTCGCTGATGCAGGAAGAACAGATCGATGACGATGCGAGGACCAAGCACAGTAGGCACGGCACCAAAGAAGCCGGCGAAGAGACGAGAGATTACATATGGCATATAATCATCGGCACTGGTCATGACGGCACCCCAGACTTGGCAAACTAGCGTGAAAAGGACACACCAAAAGATTGTGGAGCTGCGTCCGAACACATAAGAGACTGGCGCGAAGAAGAACGGGCCGGCTGCCATGCCGGCCAGAGCAGCAGAGTTCTGGGGCGTGTAAGTCTGTGATACTGGGAATATGGATATGGAGCGAGACTGTCAGACTGCCAGCAAAATTGAATACATACAGCATATGACTCTTCTAGCTTTGTCTTGTTATACAACTTCTCCTGATCGCCGAGATTCAGTTGCCCCGATAGGGGCGCAACAGCGCCAGAGAATGAAGCCAGACATAATACAGCGAGGATTATGTACTTGCGGCTTATGGCCCAGTTCTGCAAGACGTTAGCTCATAGCTACTGGTACATCGGCGGTGTTTGGATGTCTCGCCATACCAAAGGATCCCGAGGATGGGCACTTGGGCGGGGAATCAAGACCAGACGATCTGTGCTCTGCTTCTCCACACTGGCGTTGCCGTGCATCATTGATCAAAGCTGTTGGGATCCTTGCACTGGCGATCTTGATAGTCTGTCGAGTCACCCCTTGAAGAAGCTCTGGTATTTCAGCCCTGAGGCGCCAGATGTCTTGGCAGGCTAAACCGAAAGCTTTAATTATGCCAAGCTCCTTTGCCGAGCTCGTACTGTACAAGCCGAAAGCTCGCGTGGGGACGCGTCAGCTTGGCCATCAAGCTACCAAATCGGACATTTTATTGCGTGGATATAGAAACCATAGCACTTGCAGGGAGCTGTATGAATTTGGAGTGAGCATTTCATGAATAGCTCTCGAAAGCATCGAATGCGACTGAAGGTAAGGAGGTAGGGAGCATGCCCAGGTGCAGATCACTTGAAGGTTGCGGGTGAAATGGCGCCTGAGAGTTCAGGCCACGTCGGTCGGACAACCTTGGGGCTTTCCGGACATGAGCCTTTCACGATGGACTTCACGATGCACCTCACAATAGCCTTCGGGTGACTGTCCCGACAATGTTCTGCTACAAGTCTCGCTCAAGAATCGGGCACATATGTACAGGGCATGCCGATCGCGGCCACAGGATCCACATCGGAGGGAAATTCTTCAAAAACGGGCATCGGCAACAGCTCCAACATGCCGAAGGCCTTTGATACAAATCATCCTTGGTGACTCCTAATCGTTTCAAGGCCCGTATATTCTTGAAGACATGCGTTATTGATCACTTTTATTTCTTTGATCACACACACATTTACACACCCACTTAATCTCTAATCATGCCAACGGAGGACGTGGAGTCCCAAAAGCCAGCCCCGAAGGTTGATCCCCACGATTCGGAAGATGACTTGGCCCTCAAGCCTCAGCCGTCAAATGGCTACGGTATTTCAACATGGCGGAAATCACTCATTCTGTTCATTGTCAGCTGGATGACTCTGGCTGTGACATTTTCCAGCACTTCTTTGCTGCCTGCAACCCCCGAGATCGCTACGGAGTTCTCGACGACATCGGAGCTTCTCAATGTCACTAATGCCGGCGTGCTACTTGCCATGGGGTTCTCCTCCCTCATTTGGGGCCCAATTGTCAACATCTTCGGGCGTCGAAATGCCTACAATGCCGCCATATTGGTGCTTTGTGCCTGCTCGGCCGGCACCGCCGTAGCGACGACCTTGCAGATCTTTATCGCAATGCGCATTTTGAGTGGATTTACCGGAACATTTTTCATGGTCGCTGGACAGACCATCATAGCAGATATTTTTGAGCCGGTAGGTCTGAATTAACCGTGTTTCGAACAATGCCTAACCCTTACTAGACCGTGCGTGGAACAGCCGTGGGATGTTTCATGGTTGGATCAGTCAGTGGTCCTGCTATTGGTATGTCCCTATCTCCTTACGCCACCGGCCCTGGGATGAAAACTGATCGTATCGATAGGGCCATGTATTGGTGGAATTATAGTTACATTTGCACAGTGGCGCATCATCTACTGGGTGCAATTTGGGATGACATTACTGGGACTCATATTGTCTCTTCTCTTCGTGCCCAGTGTACAAGAAAAGAATTTAGTCATTGGCTCTGGCCAGCCTTGGAAAATCACCACCATCCTGAATATGTTCAACCCTTTGCGCATCTTCCGCCAGTTCATTTATCCAAACGTTTTCATTGCTGTGAGATCTGATATCATGCACCTGAATTATTGTATCACGACGCTAACAAGGAGCAGTGCCTTACCTGCGGTCTTCTTTCCACTTTCCAATATGCCATCTTGACATCAGCCCGCTCCATTTTCAACCCCCGATTCAATCTGACTTCCCCCCTCGTCAGCGGTCTGTTTTATCTTTCTCCGGGAATCGGATTCCTTGTTGGCAGTGTCGTTGGTGGCAAGCTGTCTGACCGTGCTGTGAAGAAATGGATTCTCAAACGAAATGGTGTTCGGTTGCCCCAAGACCGATTGAACAGTGGCCTCGCCACGCTATTTGGAGTTTTGCCAGCTGCAACCCTAATTTACGGTTGGACGTTAGAGGAGGAAGTGGGCGGAATGGCGGTTCCGATCATTGCGGCTTTCTTCGCAGGGGCGGGACTTATGGGCGCGTTCAATGCCCTTAATACCTACTCAGCCGGTGAGACCTTTTCACGCTTCGCTCCTCATCACTTGATTCTAACTACCCAACAGAGGCTAGGCCCCAGGCTCGCTCAGAGACCATTAGCTGCAAGTATATTGTGCAGTACATTTTTGCTGCCGCGGCCACCGCGGCCGTTGAGCCGCTGATCAATGCCATCGGAGTGGGGTGGACATTTACTATTTGTGAGCTGCCATCTTTTATCCTTAGGGGATCATTGAACTGACTCTTTTCTCAGGTGTTTTCTTTGCCATTATCGGTGGTTTCCTTGTTCTCGCCATCATCAGGTGGAGCACTGGAATGCAAACATGGGCCGAGAGAACATTCGACCGTAACAAGGAGCCTCAAGCTTGATTGTGTGACACCTTGTGCTTCAAGGTTGCATTTGCGTTTTTGCACATTCGGCGATATGGAATGCCCGCATGATAGACTTGATATAGATTCACACTAGACGACATATACCCCCATGAATTGAATGTTTACTGGACTCTTCCAAGGTTGGATAATGCACATCCATGGATCCTTTCTATATCAATATCATCATTAAACTTCTCGATATCTTGAGCATTAACAGCGCCGGAGGCCTGCAGACCCTTTCAAATGTCGGGTCGGGCACCCGGGCGGCGCCCAGCGGGCGCCCGGCGCAACGACTCGATTAGTCAGTTCGGCGTTCCTGGAGATTGTCGCCGAAGCTTCGGCAACATTTCCATGCCTCCGACCGCATTTGCACGTCATATCTCCTCACTTTACAGAAATCCAAGGACTAGCAAAGGGGCAGCGTTCGCTCATATGGCGAAAAAAAGACGTGAGCCTACATCAGACCTAGAACAGGAAGGTCGTGAGTCTCAAAAGAGAAAGTTTGTTGCGTGCGTCCCAGGTACTTTCCATCGGAAATGCTATTCCAGGTCTGACACTCCCTAGCTGTCAGCGATGTCACTCGCATAAGATCAAATGCTCCGGAGATTTACCATGCACCAAATGCCGCTCGGTAGGCTGCGCCGACGAATGCGTGTATGCCACTCGGGATCGCCAGGTGAAAGTGAGTGAGAAGTATGTGCATAATTCCATGACCCCTCGTCGAACTTAGCTTTGCGCCAAAGTTTTCTTCGCGCGGATCGGCCCGGCGACTAATTCTATCTTCATTGATTAGCTACTTAGATCAGATCCTTGCCGAAAATCAGCGGCTGAGGGAGCAGTCGACGACTTCGGCGCAAGCAGCCGAGATAAACGACCCGCAAAGGTAAAGTGCGACTTCCATTGCATTTATTGGCACTGCTAAAAAGCTACTAGAGCGCCATCTCGGCCTGCAGATGCTCCTGACGGAACGGGGATTCAGAATCCTCTGATTGGAGACCGAGCCTGGTTTCATCGGTACGACCCATCCTCGCCGCCCATCTATATCGGCGAGGCAGCATGCTCGGCATTCGCCACTCGATTTCGTCGCTTCTTGACCGGAAACAGTGCAATGCCACACATTGCAAGAACACAATACGAGCGGGAAGAGAACATCGCTGCAGCAAACGAGGCTGATATTCAATGGCCAAGTCTCCATCATGCTCGGCTGTTGGTCAGGATAGCAATCCACCAAATTGGACATCTGTACCACCTTATGATGCGCAAGTCAACGTTGGACAAGCTGGAAGAGATCTACCAGACCCAAGACTTCGATTGCAGAGCTAGCAAATGCAAATTCTTTGCTTTGTTTGCCTTTGGGCAGGCATACTCTATCCGATCCGAGCCATACTCTGGATCGCGGGTACCCGGGACATCATACTTTGCAAGAGCTATGGGATTGGTTCAGATTCTTCCAGAGAGAACGAGTGTAACACATTTGGAAACTTTGTTGCTGCTAGTGAGTACTTCGGCAGGGATGTACCGTCTCTCGGCATCGCAGCACTAACGTTATATCAAGTCCTTATTCTCATACTATCTCAACCGACGGCATTCGGCCTACATTCTAATTGGAAACGCCATGCGAATGGGCTTAACAATCGGACTGAACCACAGCATCCCTGAGTCCCAGCTAATTGACCCAGTTGAACGCCAGCACCGTATCCAGATATGGTGGACAATCTACATATTTGACCGGATGTGGGGATCAAAAATGGGACTTCCGATGCAAATACTCGACGATGACATCCACGTTGACATGCCATCAACGATATCTCCTCGCTGGCGCCACGAAGAAGAACTATCCGACAGTGAATACATGACAGCCAATATCAAACTGGCCCGTATAGTCGGCGAAACAATCACAAAGCTTTACAGTCGACGAAAGTACCAAGAAACCTTCCTCCAGCGCGTCCAAAAGCTCCTCAAAGCTCTGAAGCACTGGGTGGAAACCCTCCCTGAGTCCCTGCGACTCAATATGGAGGATCTGGAATCCAGCAAAAAGCCGATTGTCTCTCTCCACATGGCCTTCAACCAATGTGTGATCCTATCTACACGTCCAACACTGCTCCACCTCTTGATGACACTAGGTCAAACGAAACCAAGCGGGACCGAGAGCGAGAGCGGAACCGAGACCGATAGCGCCTCTGTATCACAACCGGTGCTGACGCTAAGCGAGGCATGCATCCATGCAGCACGGCATTCACACTCCATGATCCTAACACGGTGGATCAACGGGTCAATGCCGACGTTTGGGTATTTCCACGCACACTATTTGTTTTCGTCGGCATTGATCCTGGCAATGTCGAGCTTTGTCCCAATTGGGAATCCATCCGACATGACCGGGTTTGACTCCGCGCTGGACTTGCTGCGTTCGATGACAGAGAACGGGAATCTAGCAGCTGCCGAGTTCTACAAAAATTTGGAGCAGGTGAAAATCTGTCTGGATTCCTATCGCGGGTTGAAGGCTGGTCGGGGTGAAGGGGGCGTCGAAGTCGCTAGCGCAACTAATCTACAGGCTGATCCTGGCTCTGCATCTGGGTTTACTGGGCTATCAACGTTGACAAACGTGACGGCTCATTCCTCGATGCATCCTTTGCCGCCGAATACATGCACCTCTGCCCCTGCGTCGGTCACGTCGTTGGTGGCGCCTCGCGAATCATTAGCTTCTGCTCCCACTGGTCTGCCAATCCAGCAAGGCATTGACGCATATGCATTTCCGATTCGCGATACTGTCAGCGGGTACACGACTGAGATGGCGTTCTTGGAGCCGACTATGCAGGATTTCCTTGCGCAATCGGATATCGATCTTGGCTTGTTGCACCCTGTTGATGCGTTCTTTAACGAAGCGGAAAACCTTTATACTTGCCATGAGTTATGATGCAGTTAACATGATCAGGGTTGTTCGAGGCTTGGCACTTCAATGCTCAAGACATGCTGTTGCAGGCCCGTTGCTGCAAGCAAACTTATGAACCGTGGACAGACGACTTTTCGGCATGCTATATGATCCAGTCCCTTGATCAAATTATTCCTGAAATATTAACTTATATACGCCAGAATAGTTACCTCGGGTATCAACCCAATGATGCAAAGAGCTTGTGACCGAATTCTATCAGAAATGAAGTAGAACGTTGCTCGATTGCCCAGGTTGAGGAGGAGGGGTGGGGGAGGGAGTAACAAAAGAACAAAGAACGAGGCCATGGCTGATTGTGGATCACTGGATGTCGTTTTCTTTTCCAGCAGTGAGATCAGCATATAGATGTGTAAGATGCTGTGAAATTGCAGCAGGCAGGAGTCCCCATCCAGAATAACTAGACGAAGCCGAAGGCCGACCCATGGCGTGAGAGAATCCCAGTGCATATGACCCAGGCACGATGCGCAGAGTGGTCTCCGGCAGACATTTTCTGCAACCATTCAATGGCTTTCTTTAGCTTAGCGGCTGTGCTGGAAGCCTGAGCGGTATGTGGAGTAGCGCGGGCCAAAAGCTCGATCAACAAGATGCTCGTGGCTTGCATAATATTGTGCAGGATGCACCACCAAGGGGCAATACCGTATGGCCAGTCTGTGGTTCCAATTTCGGGAAGCAAGTCTACCATTTGACCGGCTACCTGGACACAAATGGCAGCCATGCTGTCAGATATTGTTCCTGGTGTACTTACTTCCGAGGAGATCTGTGAATGTCGACGAATGCAAGGCTGTAAAATAATCATTTTAGTGGCGTAGAATCGGCAAGCCAGACCGACACGCTGTTGTTGGAATTGCTGGGCTGGGTGTGATGTTGTGTGTTGAAATTGTACGGGTAGACGAGATAGCCATTTGTCGGCATGGTTATTGAAGGTAGAGATTGCGGCTTCGACCTCGTACCATGATTGCCGTGTCAAGTCCGGGACATAAATGACAGCAACAGCGCTTTGTAAGAGATGAGCTAGATCCACCGCATACAGGAAATATAGAGAGGCATTGGGTGTCAAGATGTCGACATCGAACTGGCCATAGCTTTCTTCAGATTGTTTTTCTTTTCCTTTGCTCTGCAGCTGTCTGTAACTTTGTCGAGGCTGTATCTCGTTTGGTGGAAGAACAGGGGAATTCGAAAGCAGGGACGAGAGGAAAGCGTTGCGAGCCCCTGGAACAGAGACCAGCTGCACAACCCGTTCGTCCTCAATATCCTCCTCGAGAAATGGAACCGGGAGCGGCATCGTGCAAAAAGTGTGCTTTGTGATGGGCGGACGACCCGTAATCTCACATAATGTCGTATCCAACAAAAACAACGCCCACCAAACACGGTAGCGGAGTTCTCTTGAGGAGTGAGTGATGCTGCCCGTCTCACTTCGAAGATTTAAACCCATCGCCATCGCCGAGCGGATCGCAGTCCCAGCAGTTCGCCACGACCTGGATTGAAGTCCCTCCAGTCAAACGCTGTGCATGCGAAGCGTGAAGCGAATAATACACCACTTACCGGTTTACTTGCCCAACCGACAAGAGGTAGAACGCAACCAGGCCCTCGACCTGGGTTTGCTGCAAGTCTGGATGATCGAGCAGTACATTACTTCCACTCAACTTCCAAGCGCGAGCAAAATACACCGAGTGTTCACCGTAGTCCAGTTGAGGCTGATTTGTGAGGTTTCCGTGCCTGGTAGCAATGGCAAACACCACATTCAAGACCGCCAGCCAGCGCCTCCCTGGCCGAAGGCTCGGGTTTGAATAGAAAGTTCGATATTGATTGAGGAAGACGACTTTCCCCAGAATGGGGAACAGGGGATGGACGGTATGGAAGTAGGTTTCCACAAGCTTATCAGCGATGTGTTGGGGTGGCCGGCGTGCTAGGTCGAGATCGTTGAGGACCGGGATTTCGGAATCGTCCTGGAAGTAGTTCACGGAGGACATAGCAGGAGATTCGAGATCTTTGGGTGGCAAGTGAGTGCCATGATCGAGGTCGCGTTTCAGTCTGTACAACCATGCGATCTCTGAATAATCGCCCACAAATCCCATAGCCTGTACCTTTTCATCGCGATTGAAGTCCTCTTCGGTGTAGTCCACTACTGCTGGGGTGACCACGGGGCTAGCAGTCGCATCAGACGAGAATGGTTGGGGCATTGCAGGGGTCGTGATGGGAAGTATAGAGGAGTGTAGGTTCAGATCTCTCAGGCACTGCTCAACCTGGTGTGCTGACGAAGCATCGAGTGTGTGGTAAATGTCACGCAGTAAAGCCTCGAGAGATTCCACTTTCACGGATAGATCATTCAACTGTCTTGCATCAGGGGTTAGAGAGAGAGGTCCGCGACAGCACAAAACAAACAGCGGAAAGACACCCACTTCTCCATCTTTTCCTTTTTCCGATCGCCATACGAGCACTGCACCCCGGCCTCCTGGCACCGAACGCAAACCGGGTGATGGCCACTACATTTGGCCTTTTGCTTCCGGCAATTTTCACATGCTCGACTGACTCGACCACTGACAATTGAACTACTCGATGGTGTGTTGCGGGGGATGGCTACCTTGGCATTACCACGGTCGCTTCGGGGGGCGAAAGTGAGAAGATCGAAGTGCTGTGGACGATCTGAGACAGAATTCTCATCAAAGGTCGTGTTCTTGTCCGGATATTCGGGGAAGGGAAAGCTCCCGCTCATGTTCAATAGAAAGCTGAAAGACTAGGGATCATATGCTCTAGCGATGGGCGCTGTTAGAAAAGGTTAGCTCGACGGTGGAGCCTTCAGAGCCTACGCCTGTGCCGCCAGTGCGGCCAATGCAGCCCCTTCCAGGTATCAGGTATCAGGTAACGGGTACAAAGCGAGGGAGCAAATAGCAAAACAGAAATCCCCAGAGCAAGGGTCGGCTCGGTGGATACCTCACGATTCCGTGAAGGAGGAGCGTGTGGTATGCCGGAGCTATTTGCCGGTGGTTTCGCCACTGAGATCGAGCGGTCCATCGCTGACACCAATGAGCAGAGACAGGGGCTGCTTATGAGTAGGGAGCATATATATACTGAGGTTTCCAACTCCTAAAGTGATAGCTTCTGATCACTTGCGCCATTTGGCTGAAATGCCCGATCACGGTGCGTGGCTGCCAGTGTCCGAGACGGTGTACATAGCTCATAGTGTCGAGCCATTGTTCGGGCTGCAAGGCCTGCAAGGCCTGCAATTTGGTGGAAAGCGTTCAATAGCAAGATCTGGAAATATACCAAACTTCGGTGGTGTCGTCCCCTATGGATCCTCGCGACGTCGTGGGTTCCGAGTCATTCTGTTATTTTCCCTTGGCTCTAGGCGAAGCTCCATATCGTAGACTTTCGCATTACCCGGCCATTCGCTCGTCAAGGTATCAAGTGCCCGAGCACTGGTGGATCAGAGCCAAGCAGCATTCTTGTTTTGTTCACTCCGGTTTGCGTGCCACGCCGGGAAGACGGTTGCCCAGGTCTTTTCTTCAACACCCTGTAGCAAGTCGTAAAAGAAAGACGCACAACAGAGGCTTCCAAGGAGAAGCAATGGAGGTGGATTTCATTTGAGTTCGTTTTCGTGTTCATCCTGATGAATGAGTGGTGTTCTCAATTTGACGTGCTGGGTCCGCGAGACAACGAGGTTGCAGATACGAGTAAACTTCCGCCCTCCCTCCCTCCTTATCCCATGCCCTGCCGACGTGAAATTCGACAACCGAGACAATTTTGCTGTGCATTTCAGACCCTGGGGGATACTAGTGCAATGGTTTAACAGGCACTGGTATTCAAAGGGTACACCGATGATGCTTTGTCGGAGACGGTGATTTTCTCTCGAGGCATGACCGGCCTTAGCTGACCCCGTGTCATCGCCCAGTTTCCAGCGATGATGTAGTCAGCACAATATGGGGAGTTCGGGAGTTTCTTCGCTCTAATGACAGGGGAAGGAGGCGTGTTAGTCGGCGTCATCGAAGGGAACGCAGAGACCAGAGCCAGCGTTAGTCCTGGTCGTAGTGGGTGAATCCATTGGGTCAGTTCGACACTTCGTCCCTAGCACTGACTAAAGAGTTCGATAGGACAAAATCTGTGAGGATACCACCCTGGGAGCCATGGTCCAAGAGATCATATGTTCTGCTGAAACATACGCTCCCCGACGCCGATGCACCACTCGAGACCCGATCATCCTGAACACCATGCCGAACTAGATTGACTATACCCACGATTGCCAAGGCACATTTCCTTCAGATAACGTGCGTTGTGAGCTGAGTGCCCGACAACCCTTTCGTACCGTTGGGCCCCGTTCAGGCTCTCCAGGGCTTAGTCGCACAAGGCGACGACACGCTTCTGGACTCGATCATTCTTGACAACATACCCGGTTTGACACAAAATAAGCTTGCAGAGACGATGTCCGGTTGCACGATCAGCTTTGGCAAACGTGATAGCAGCCGGATACCTGCAGGAGACCCAGACTGCATGGCTTGGGTCTAATTCTTGTATGGAGCAAGGCGATGACGATAACAAAATCTTCCAAGGTGGCGACTCTGCTCTCGAGGGCGTTGAGGGCGGGAGGACGGTGCAATTCGCGAATGCAGGCTATACATAGCCATAGAATGTCCATCGAATTTCCTTTGAAATTTTCATATCTAGAGTTCGAGGACAGTGGCCATCATGGAGGTGAGCTCTCACTCCCTGTTAGTCTCATCGCCCCTGAGAGCAAGAGATATGCGATGAGATTCGACAACAATGACATATCTGTCATGAATATGACCAAAAGCCCGAGTTGTGGCTTAAGTTTTGGGATTGGAAGTCTGTGTATAGGCCCCGTACCGAGAGTCAAACGGCGCCTAGGTCTGACTTCGCATGCACCTCTTGGACTTGCCACGGAGACACATCCACAACGTTCCCAAGCCCTACAATCATACAGACCTGCTTTGGTGGCAGGAAAGCAACCTTCCAAAGATCCAAATCATCGTTGTCGGCCGTAGATTCTATCCAGGAATCTTGTGCGATCCTGCTTGAAACCCCAATGGCTGACATGTCGCGTTACGCCACGAAAGAGTCAACACTACACAAAAAAGCGATGATCAGCAACATGTCTTGAAGAAATGAGAAACGAGAAACAATGTCTTTCTTATTATACTCGTGACAGACCGATCACTTGGAACCCAATCTGGCGGTTTCGGTCAGTTGTGAGGCGCTTAGCTCCAGACCCCACGGTTTCCCGGCGTTGGTAGCCCCTCGTGACTAGAGGATTGCATGAGACCCAAAACGTTGTCTCAATTCTCAAAGACTGACGAAAGCTGGCTCGAAACGATTACGCGCACCGAAAATAAGATGTCGAGGGGAAGGGGGCGGAAGAAATATTCAGTCTGCGACCGTCGAAGGTGATTGCTTTTTCCGGACGGATATTTGGAGGAGAGCAATTCACATGGATAACGACCATCGTTTCGCAGAGATGTGACACTGGGGCACATTCATTGCGAAGGGATGTCTAAATTGGGTTGAGGTGAGAACATGCTGAGGGTATCCGGAAACATAGTCCGGGAAGCACTGAGCCAATGAAACACACGGGGGAAGAAGAACGAAGATGGGCTCGTTCACGGGTAAATCGTCTGCTTATCAAAGGCCCTGTGGAGGAATTCCAAAGAAACCGCAAACCTGTCGATTCCTCGAAGAATTGGGATTTGAGGAAAAAGGGCCTTCTGGCGACAAAAAAGTACGGTGAAGACATGGGATTTGGTCTCTTTTTCTTTCTTTCCAAGGTTCATGGTCTGTTGGTCTATCTGGCTGGCGTCCCTGCATCCAGGATCGATTCGGCGCTCCCCAACATCCCACGCCTAGTGGTCAAAAGCGTCTCCAGACCAATGGGATACCATTGCGCTATACTCAAGAGACTATGGTCGCAATCTTGGAACCTTGGGCTGCGTCGAACCCAGGAAATCCATGGATTAGGGAGATTTTCCTTGAAAACCGGATGAAGCAGACTACCAGTGCATGCCCAGGTGTACTCCGTATAGTCGGCTGTATTACATTTATGGATGTCGTGCTTTCCAAGGTTCTTATATAGATTGTGTCTCTCAACCTTGGAATTGAGCTAGCTAGGTTCCTCTCCTTCCAGTCATTTTTCTAGGGGAATGAGCACCACCCGAACAAATGTTGGAGGTCCACTTTCAGCCTTGTAGTTCGTGTTCTTGGATGCTTCATGTCCATTGCAATCATGGTGTTTCTTTTTTTTTTTTTTTTTTCCTTTTCCCAAGCAAAAAGTGAGAGAAAAATTCTTTTTTTGGTCAAATCCAGGAAGAGGCAAGTTCCAAATCGGTTGAGAAATCAGTTGCGATCAATGTAGAATCCATGGATATATTTCGAAATGATGTTCGCTGTCGTGAGGTCGTAATAGTTGAGCAGATGCCTGAGGCATACATTACCGATATCATGTGACTGTCAGGTGACCAAGGGACTATCTCCCCTTAGGTTTATCTCTGCTGCAGTCGTTGCGGCTTCAATGGGATGCAAATAGATTCATAATGTCAGTGCGCGGGCCGATGCGGCGGTCGCACTTGAGGCAAGTCAGCGCGGCGAGTTTGGAGAGTACCTCCTCCGCCCACTCACAAGAGGCCCAGCATGACCACCCCACGGATGACAGGACCGTGAGGCTTTCGTCGACAAGTTGGACACGGCACCTATGTGCAATGTGGGTGCATGATGAGATGTTCTCACGCGAAGAGATCTTGTTAAATCCATCGGCGTTCGGTGAAACCGATGTGCAAGTTGGGGACGTTGTGGAGATTTTGCCCATGCGGGTAGCTGGGGAGAGCGGCTATTCCAATCTTAAGCCAGAGGCGGCCTCAAAGGCAGGCCGCGAGGGGCACATTGACAAGAATCCGGCCTCCCAAGCGGACAACGCCTCTAAATTCAAAACGCCACTACAAACCAGATGTCTTTTTGTGGTGAAAGCTCTCCCGCCAGAAATCAAGGCGCGACACCCTCAACTGGAAATATCGGTGACTAACAACCTCGCCAACATCTTTGGTTTCAAGAACAGGACGCAGGTTCTCTTGTCGATTGTGGATCGGGACCAATGTGCAGCATCCCATGTCGATATTGCGTTTCGTGATCAGTACATCGTCCGCGCTGACATGTGGAGATTGGTCATGTCGGAACTGGTGGACAAAATCATCTACAAAGGACAAAAGATCATGTTCATGGGAAGCATCAAAGCCACAGTCAAAAACATCTTCATTCGGGAAAAGAAGTGTCTCTCGGGGTACTTTTCACCGCGAACGATCCCTATCTTTCGCAGCGAATCCGCCAAGTATGTTCTTTTCATTCAGATGTCAAGAGAGATGTGGGACTTCGACTCCGAAGGAACTGGTGACATTCTTTTCAGTCGCGTCATCAATGGCTTCCTACCAGAACTTTTCAAGAGATGGCTCAATTCCGACGCAAAGCATCTGGTCACCATCGTTCTCTTCACTCGTGTCGAATATGATACCCCCGTGAACCCGGGTCAATCTAATATGAGTGCTGGTAACTTCAACGGCACCACAGGGCCAAACAAGGTTCCGACCCGAGATTTTTACCGTGTGGTGGTAAACGACATGGCAAGTGGCCATTGGACGACCATTCTCGATGAGTTGAAAAGGGAATTCAGATGCTTTCTGCGTGATGTTTCCATCCTCAAGACAGATGATATCGATGTTGCGTCAGGCAGTGGTATCAAGATTTCTTCCAAGCCTCATATGGCTACCATTGCCGGCCGGCCTAGCTCAGCTTTACGGGGGAATATTTTAGAGGCCATTCATCTCGCTTCTGCTCACCTGGCCTTTGACCACATCGATCGAGATATGGTCCACACCGGTACCTCAATCATCGTTATCACTCCTGGCAGTGGTGTATTTGAAGTATCATATGAGTCTCTGGCTTCAACGACAGAAGCACTGGCAAATCGGGGCATAGCAATTGACTTGGTTTGCTTAAGCCCAATGCCCCTTCACTCCGTGCCTTTGTTCAAATACCGAGAACCATCCGATCGACAGTCCGGTACTGGCAGAGGCCCGAGTGACTCTCGCCTGAACAGAGTCTCTCCTGAGATGCACCACTCTCTGTCGAGCGTCGTGAGCAGATCTTCATACCTCTCCCCCAGCTCATATCTGTCGGCGACCAGAATCAGAGAGCGCATGGGCCCTCAATCCAAGGAGTGGAGCTACGGCATCCCCCACTGGCTCGACATCTCTTATTGGAACCCTGAAACGTATCGTGAGGCCCGGCGTATCTTGAAGAAAGATCCAAATGCACCTATATCTTCCACTGTCACACGGCCGTCCAAAGCATTCACGCCACGAGTTCGTATGTATGAAATCCAAATGATGGGAGTTATGGAAAGCGAGCAGTCAAACATCTCTATCCCTTATCTCACCGAAGGTCGCGGCGGGGCAAGGGCTCGTGGCTCTTGGCCTGGATACAGCTCAACCAACCGTGCGCCCCCTGCGACGCGCCCAGCCAATTCATCGTCCTTCAAGGCACAGCTCAGTGAGAGTCTGCGGCCGGGATCTTTTATACACAGCGCCTCAGACAACAATGGATCACAACTTCAGAATGGCCCTAGTTCACGAAAATCTGTGATGGCGTGGATGGATCAATACGACGAGGGTCTTTTTGCTGTCTCTCCAAAACAACACCAGACCCGCCGAACTTCCAAGCCGAAACGACCCAGTGAAACGGAGGTTCAAGCTGCTGGCGCCGGGGTACACGAGCGTCTGTCTGCACGCTCGATAATGCGCCTTCGCGACCATGAAACCAATCCAGCCGAAAAAAACGACTCTTTGCACCATGGACCGCGAAGGATTGATTCAAACATGACAAAACCCAAGATTCAAGGGCCAGCCAAGAGCGCCCCGCCTGCTAAGCCAGCATTGAAAAAGTCACCGGCCCCAATGTCTTCTCGGATCTCTAGGACAATTAGCTTTGCACTTCGAGGCTTGAGTGCCACACCAACCAAAGCCCAGGCAAGCACCGGTGTGAATGTGGAGCATGCAAGTGCTTTACCCATGACGAACCAGAAAACACCCGTTGGATCCATTTCCGACACCAAAAGCATCGCTTCTCTAAGCCCGTCAGAGACAACGTCAATTGCCACTGCTCTTGAACTGCCGTCGACACCTTCCACGCCTACAAAACCTCAAACTCCATCTAAGCCGATATCCATCAAAATTCCACCTAAGAACCCCCCAAAGGAAGCAGAACAACCAGAGCGCATAGGGGAGCGTGGATCATTGTCTTCCTCTGCGGTAGAGACACCAGCCCATGAAGGGGGTCGACATCAGAATGCAGGACGTACCAATGATCCTAAAATCGAAATTACTCTCAACCACGGCCCACACGAACCACCTTCACGGGATTCCCCAAGCAAAGCCTTATCTCCGTGGGTTCGATCAGTGAACCCATGTAACACCCCTAAGGATGTCCTGCGAGACACTAGTTGGTTTGGTCGTTGGCAGCACGCGTATCCTCGGCCTCCACATGTGGCTGTTGTCAAGTGGAAAAGTCTGAAGTCGCCGGCTGTGCTTCCATTGACCACTGAAGAAATTCCGACTGCCAGTGTCCTTGCTTCCGACTATTTGCAGACACCTTATCGAGTTTTCCCAAACGAGGATCTGGAGGGAATTGAAGCCCCTAGAACAAGGGGAGTCCTTCTTCGAGAAATGATATCCCTGCGGCTCTCACATGGCTTCCAAATTATCGTTGGAAAACACGTCGCTGAGGTTGCAGCACAACCCGCTCTTGAATCGCTGAATGTCTTCGATTTCAGTGGGCTTGGTCGCGATGGACTTACCGTGTTTCTCTCCAAAGGGAACACTATTCATCGATTGGTGTGCGTTGTGGGCGGGGAGGTTGAAGTGACGCGCTTCACACACCAGAACTCCGCGATGCCTACCTACCCGAAGAAGTCTAGTCACACTCTTTACCAACCGGCCATGAAGACGATTCTCAGCCGGGAGTATGAAATAAAAGACGTCAAACTGGATCCCACGTCCGAGGAGTACAATTGGAATTATGCCGACAACTATGTGGCTGGTCATCGAGATTATCTTCAAAACCCAGCGCAGCAATTACATTTCTGGCGAGTTCGTTACGTCTTGATTCCACTTCAGCTCCACCCTAGCTCTCGAACTCATCTACACTCATTCAGTGAGGATAACGAAGAAGAGATTCATCTGCTAGGGATCAGTCAGCTGACCCACATCTGGCAACGTTACAAGTACGTCTCCCCGGAAGAGAAGCTCTTTGAGACATCGAATCCGAAGAGAGATCAGAACCCTTTGAATATCATGTACCAAACACGCAACCCTTCGGAGATTGTTACAGCAGAGCTCGATCGACTGTTGCTCACTGATCCGGGGCTTGACAACGCGCCGGCTCAGCTCTTGCCCGAATCTGAATTGTTGGACAGATCCAATATCAGCCTCTCCTCCCTGGCGCAGACCATTCAGGGCGAGAAGGGTGTGCGAATGATGGATCGAAGATGGCATTGGAGACTGCATTACAATTGCTTCATCGGGTTCGAATTCACAACTTGGCTGATGCAGAACTTCCGAGACATCGACACTCGCGAAGAAGCAGTGAAGTTTGGCAATGATTTGATGATCAAGCATGCCCTGTTCCAGCATGTTGAGAAGAGACACAATTTCCGCGATGGGAACTACTTCTATCAAGTATGTGCCGAGTATCGAGTCACGCGCCCAGAATCGCGAGGAAGCTGGTTCCCCCAGCTCAGACCGGATAAGTCGATGCCATCTACACCCGCCATCGGGACTTCAAAAGAGTCACCTGCGAGTATGAAGGCTCGATCGGATAGCATTGACGACCGCACCCCTCAAACTTCCAATACTCCTTCCAAGGCTAAAAACAAAGTTGCTATCATGTTATCCAAGTCCATGAAGTATGATGTCGATCCGCGAAAGCGATCGAACCGACCAGAGGTGATCGATCTGCACTATGACCGACTTCACAATCCCGAGAACTGTTTCCACATTGAGCTCAGTTGGATGAGCACGACCCCGAAGCTGATTGAAGATGCTGTTCTATCTTGGGCCTCTACCTCGGAAAAGTTCGGCCTGAAATTGGTACAGGTCCCAATCTCCGAGGCCTGCGCGATTGACAAAACTCAACCATTCCGCAAACCCTATGAGATTAAGCTCAAAGTCCCACCTCCAAAGGGGCCACTTCATACTGTGTTCAACAATGCCTCATTCGCACAACCAGGTCCACCCGATCACCTCTATTACCAAAAGGCCTTGCTGCGGAAGTTTGACTTCGTGCTCGACTTTGAGGCATGCTCTGCCTTCCCGGCAGACGTAGAGGTATCTTATTCCTGGGGCAAGCCCGATTACCAATATCCTCAATTCATCCACCGGAGTGGTAGTCTTCTCGCCCAGATCACGGACGAAGGCGATTTCCTTCTTCTTGCCAACCGACTCGTGAGCACTCGCAGCACCGCAAGTCGAGACGCTGGACGCTTTGAGAGCCATACAAGACCAGATTTCAGGGGGCGCACAGGTAATCATGATGGGATTGACCGTGACCGCATCTCGCCGCGGCTGTCCCCTCTTACCCGCCCGGTTCACGACATCGGTAGCCCAATGACCTCATCTACTTCCTCCAACATCGACTCGGCCAACTTGTACCGTGCCCCCGAGCACATACTCAATGGTCTGATGGAGTTCTGCAATGATGCCACTCAATTGGAACAATTCTATTCGGAATCACACGCTCGCCCACGATCCACGAAGGTGGAGCCCTCCACCACGAACTTGATGGATGCCTCGATTCCCTCACTTGAGCTTCCTGCCAGTGTAGTCAGTCATATCTCGCCGCCGCCGGGTTTGCCATCACGGATCACCAATGAGACCCAAGGACTGGTCTCGCCGGAACTCACGCGAGCCAGAGCCCGAGGGGAAAGCCTCAGCTACAATGCGAGCCCCAGGAGCGGCAATCTACGACCCTTGATATGATTTGAAGATACCCATTGATGCTTTGATGATTTTGTACCCGCGAGAAGCGATACCTGCCATATTCGTTCCGTGATTATTTCCGTCTGTACCCATAGCCATAGTTCAAAAGAAGCAAGATACAGTACCAACGCCACCATCTGGAATACCCTGGTCGCATCGCCAGCGAACAGACTTGGATCTGGTTTCCGCCTAGAAGCCCATCCCTACGCCACCACTGTATTTAGCCGGACCTCTCCAATTCAGCCGAGTTCCCTGCAGGCCCTGGTTGGTGGATATTTGCTTCGGTGCAAAAGTCCCGAGCATCGTGCCCCTCATGTGTTCCCAGCTCCAGCGCCCAGCTAGCGGAGCTGCGGCATGCGCTATTCGGAATCAGGCGACGGACAGTGCTCCGTGTCGCATCGTGAACCCCAATGCTCGGGGCTAAGAGGCAACCTCGCCCTGCACTTCTTTTTCTCCCTCGTTTACATGATCCGAATTCCACGGTCGTTGGGAGGACTATAAATTCAAATCTTTAAGCAGCTAGGGGATACTTCAGTTCGCTCCTGAGCAGCCAACAAGACTGCCAATCTGCCAGAATGAAGTTCACCGCAGGAATGTGGTGTCTGCAGGTATGGCTTTTCCCGATGGATTTGTACATGGTCACTAATCTATATACGGTGACATAGGAGGGTGTGAGCATCGAGTGGATGAGCAATGTGGAACGGTTTTCAATTGAAGGCGAGGCCGTCAATCTGTTACTGAACAAGTACCAGAGACACCGCGGAGACACCCTCAATTCACGTATGCTCCATCTTCGTTGAAACAGGACCTCAGAAGCTGATTCGACATATAGCAACCGTCTCGGCCCGGGTTACCTCACCGTCGGAAGGGATCATTGGCGTGAAGCTCGTGCATTGGTAGTAATCCACGAATGGGCACTCCGTTTGGCAAAAGTCATCCAGTTCTAACTCACAATAGGGCGGGTCAAATCGACAATGGTCCCCACTATCCAGTGAACCAAAGCAGCGGACATACCAATATCCAGCATAACAAAGAGGGAAACACCCTCAAGTACACTAGCGGGCCACTAGATCTTGATCTGAACACCGCGGCCAACGAGCTCGACCTGACTTTCCGCTCTCCAGGTGGCAAGAAGCTAACAGGTCAATCTTTCCGCTCAATTGGCTATGTGCGTGACCAGCGAACGGAGAAACACCGCTACGAAGACGGGATTTATGCCGAGCGCCAGGGATACATGCTCGCGGGGCTGGACCTGGGCGTTGGCGAGAGGGTCTACGGACTCGGAGAGAGGTTTGGGCCCCTGGCAAAGAATGGCCAGACAGTTGATATCTGGAACGAGGACGGTGGTACTTCTTCTGAACTCGCATATAAGAACATCCCCTTCTATATTAGCTCCAAGGGGTACGGTGTCTTTGTCAATCATCCTGGTAAGGTCAGTTTGGAGGTGCAGTCTGAGCGAACGACCAGGGTCAATATCTCTGTTCCCGGCGAGGAGATTGAGTACTTCGTCGTCTATGGTGCTACGCCAAAGGAGATCCTGAATCGGTATACTACATTAACCGGACGGCCGGCTCTGGTTCCCTCGTGGAGTTATAACCTCTGGCTTACGACAAGTGAGTTTTGGTCCCCATATGATGCCCGAAATAAGCTAACCCTGGTTGTGAAGGCTTTACAACCAACTATGATGAGGCTACTGTTACTGGTTTCCTCGATGGGTTCCGAGACCGCGACATTCCTCTTGGGGTCTTCCACTTTGACTGTTTCTGGATGAAGTCCTACCATTGGTGCGACTTCGACTTCGACTCGGATATGTTCCCAGATGCCGTGGGTTACCTCAAGCGTCTGAAAGAGCGTGGTCTCAAAATCAGTGTATGGATCAACCCATATGTTGGGCAGGCATCGCCACTTTTCGAGGAGGGAAGAAAGAACGGATACTTCATCAAGGTATGTGCTCAAATGGCTCTTGGAATCAAAGTTGAATGGATATCCTAACACTACACAAAGCGTACCGACGGGTCCGTCTGGCAATGGGACTTCTGGCAAGCAGGAATGGCCGTGGTCGATTTTACAAACCCTGACGCTTGTACATGGTACAACAGCCACCTGGAGCGGCTCATGGAGATGGGCGTCGACAGCTTCAAGACCGATTTTGCTGAGCGTATCCCGGTCAAAGGTATCAAGTACCACAATGGGGCGGATCCAGAGCGCATGCACAACTACTACGCTCTGCTTTACAACAAGATTGTCTATGAGACTATGAGCGCCCGCGTCGGACCTAGCCAGGGTCTCCTATTCGCGCGCAGCACAGCGCCAGGTGGACAGGCATATCCCGTGCACTGGGGCGGTGATTGCGAAAGCACATTCGAGGCTATGGCGGAGTCGCTGCGCGGCGGACTGAGCTTGATGCTTTCCGGATATCTTTTCTGGGCATCTGATATCGGTGGGTTTGAAGGAACTCCCCCACCGGCGCTTTACAAGCGATGGGTCCAATTTGGCCTGCTGTCATCACACTCACGACTGCACGGATCGTCTTCGTTCAGGGTACCGTGGATCTATGGTGAAGACTGCTCTGATGTGCTGCGGGATTGCGTGAAGCGTAAGATATTGCTTACGCCATACATCCTCCAGGAAGCATTGAGAGGCCACACCGATGGAACCCCACTGATGAGGCCGCTCTTCTTGGAATTCCCGGAAGATTTGAACACGTATGCCGTTGATACGCAGTACATGTTTGGATCAAACTTGCTGGTTGCGCCTGTCTTTTCCGAAGAGGGCGAGGTCACTTTCTACGTGCCTGAAACTCCCAATGATGGGAGTGGGAAGTGGGTGTCGTGGTTTGATCATTCCAAGTCTTATGAGCCCGGCCGATGGTACACCGAGACTCATGGGTTTGATACTCTACCCATCCTGATTCGTCCTGGATCTGTGACTGTAATCAACCCGGCCATCAAGGCCCCTGAGGATGATGCCTTGTCGGGCGTGGAGTTGTTGGTCAATGGTCGTCCGAATAGCGAGACCGTGATCGAACTTGTCAATTCAGCTCAGACTGATGAGGTTCTAAAGACTGTTCGGCTTTCTTCTAGCGCAGATGGAAAGCTGGAAGCGAGCGGCCATCCAGTCAAGATTGTTTACGTTGCATAGTGTGAGAGAGGCAAGATAGCATGTTCACAAAATATCCATGAATTGTCAGATTGTTCAATAGTCAAATTAGAAGATTGGGGGGAGGGGGGCTTCTCCCCCACAAGCATAACTAGACTTCAGCATGAAGTGGGTGGGTATCATAGTCGAAAAGATGTCGCAATGCAAGCGGCAAAGCCATGGAAACGAAAGAACAAAGGATACGCAACGCAATAGTCAAAAGCTGGAAATGCAGTGAAAAACGGGAGGAAAAAGAAAGGAATCCCAGGTCAAGTGGCATGAAGACACCAGGTCGAAACCACCTGGGCGATACTGATGGCAAGGATTGCCAACAAAAATGAATATTCACAGTGAAGTAGTAAAGAGCTCACCAAGCTTCTTCGACGTCAAGAAGCCATTTTCGAATTCCTTGCCGCAGCGTATTATCGGCACCTGAGATTGCTCTTCTGTGCTCGCGATCAGCAAGACCAGCAGCAGTGTCCACGTCGTCGCGGCAGTGCTCGGCGGTGACGATGCGGACGACTTCTTCGAGTGCTCCGAGGACCAATTTGCGGCATTCGCTACGAGGAACTTCGGGGGCTGGTACATGAGCTGGTGCTTCGTCCGGCCGAGCAGAATGGCTCTTGTCTCTGTCTTCTGCTTTGCGAGCACGATTCGGAGAAGCGGCACGCGATTGTACAAGTGAGGAGTACCCACTTTGTCCGAGCACACGTTCGACCGCATCAACTAGCACCCCATCAAGGTCCATCACAGGCTCCTCGATGAATCGCTCTTCCACGAAGCTCTGATCTTGCTCGCCAGGGGTGCTGCTGGGGGACTTGTCGTGTCCTGAAAACAAGCCGGTGAATGAGGCGCTCCCCGCAGACTGGCGGGACTTGCCATTGGCAGGTGAGGTGGGCGAATGAGTTGTCCCAGATTCGTGGCCCACTATGATTTTTCGTCGCAGACGGAGCCGCTTTACCGTGGAGGCGCGTGTGTCCGCAATCAAAGTCGTCGCAACATCCACCCATCTCTCAGAGCCATCCACATCGGGCGTGGATGGAATATATGGAGAAGGTTCGGCCCGCATAGCTCGCTTTACTTCGGCTTCGAGTGAAGCATAAGGGCGGACTGCCTGAAGTGAGAAATCTTCGTGGAATGACTTCAGCCATCCAGCCACATGGGCGGAAGGGCTATCGTTGTCTTTCATGGTACCAGGGAACCCAGAGCCACTGCTATGAGTTGAGGCAACCGCATCCATGCTAGTGACGGATGTTCTTGTCTTTTTTGGGGAAGCGATAGTCGAGTCGCCAGACGAGGAAAGGGACATAAAGCCAGGGAGAGGAAGGTCGACATCTACAACTCCCTCCTGAGCCCGGACAGATAGCTTCAGCGGCGATTCGCGCGGTTGGCTACTGAGCGACGAGGGCTCTGGCGAGGCTGCTGGGATTGAAATATTCCCACTGGGGGCAGTTTCAGGTCGATGCTCATCTTCAAGTTCAGCTACTTCCTTGACCATTCGGCTTAAAGCATTGGATCCACGTCTTGCTGGGCCAGCGATTGTGGATACAGAAGTTTTGCGAGTGTCGGGTGGGGGGAATGGCTCACTTCCTTCGTTCGACGATTCTTGGCGGGAGCTCCAAAGGCCTGAGAAAATGCCACCCCAGCGACCCGAGGCACCACTATCATTGGTGCTCAACACAGAGCTATCGCTTCGTTGGAGGCTTTTCAGCAGGGTCTCTGATGCCAGGCTATCATTGCCTTCAACTGCACCGTCGTGAGTTCGAGCCTGAGTGGAGTTACTTGGTTGGGAGGTAAAGTGTGGGACTGGGACAGTGCTGCTCTGGGTTGTCATGGACGTAGTTGCCCCGCTCGTGTTCACGGCTCGAACATCCTTTGGATTAATGTTGGCACTGAGTGTCTTGATCGAACGAGCATCAGACCCCCTGCGGGCCGCAGCCGTGGAATAGTCCGGGGGTGGCGTTGTGACTTCAAGCCCATGTGTAGTATCTTGCGATGAAGCGCTTACTGAACGTTGATGGTGATCATTATCGCCCATGTTCATTCGCTGGGCACGAGCTCTTCGCTCAATCGCCCTCCGCAGAGACTCCTGGCGCAGTATAGGCACAGTAGGCGGGCTTTGTGATATCGCGCGCATCGATGCCGACGTACCAGGCCTTAGTGGCGAGGGTAACGGTTCCATGCGCTGTTTAGAAGGCAAGAAAGCAGCGAGCAAGAACACAAGACGGCGAGCGGTCATCTTGTCAGGACATACGATGACCGTCCTGTTTGCTAAGAGGGGCTCACCATCCTGTTTAGCCTTCTGTTGCTGGTTGTGGCGGCGGCGATACCACTCCGGGCCAAGACTATTGAGCCACTCCGTATGATTGCCCAAAAAGGCGGTCAATACGACCAAGAAGAAGAAGTTTTGCTCTTTGTCACCAAGACCACGAACAATTGAGCGGCCTTCTTCTCGCCAGACACCCCAACGACTCTGCCCAGTGACCACATACGGAGTTTGTAGGGCCAGGCTTATCCGGCGAGAGCTTCGAATAGCCTCTTCTTTGAGCTTGGAATTGACTGACAGGATATTGGCGGGCAAATGCACAATGGTCTGGTTGGTGCGTTGCATGTTGGGTGGCTTCACAGGCTTGGGATGAGGCCCCGAGAGAGAGTCGACTTTCTTCAAAAGGAAGAGAATCTCATTGCGAGCAAGTCTCTCGAGGTGAGAGAGCGTACGTGTAATCACATCCCAGTGATCGACGAGTATGTCCAGCCGCTCATCTAAACTGGCAGGCGGAGACGCTGAAGACAAGCTATCATCAAGGAACCCACCAGGCCAGCGGTGATCGGAATCAAGTGAACTTGAAAAGCGTGTTCGAGGGGTGTCCGGGCCGAGGGTGCTGAACCTCGATGCAGGCCGACCAGAATTGCGTGTTAATAGGGGGATCTGTATCGTTATTGCAACTGCATACATCGGAGTTTTCTTTTCCTTGATCTTCTTGCGCTTGTTGAAATCTGGGAACGGGAATTCCATCTCGGGTAAGGATTCCTGGTAAAGTGCGCTGGCATAATCTTGTCTTTCGGCCGATGCTTCGGCGCCTTCCGGCAAGTTTACACTAAACATACGAGTCAAGAGGACTGTGACCTTGGAAGGCGGTTTGTCATCTCCTCGAGCTGCACCCATGGGGCCTAGGGGGCTGCCTGTCGTGTAGGCACGAGAGAGCGGGCTGCGAGCAGCGGGGGATGCACTAACCCCAATACCAATTCCGGTATCCTCATCAGCGGAGATGATGTGCATTTTGGTAGATGAGCCTCGGTAGCTAAAGGCACTGCTGCCGAAGATGCAATTCAAAAGCCCAGTATCGTTAGAGTCGGACGAGTGTCGGGACTGGCCTGGATCGTGCCATGTCCCCGACGGAGCCAATGTGGAGCTCCGGCCACGGGCTCGGGAAAATGCGCTGGGACTGGCTGGTGACGCTCTCCGAGCATCTGCAGCGGTGGATATGGGACTCGATTCGACGAGGGAGGATTGGGCGAGAATGTTGCGGCGCGTCCCACGCGAGAGGCTGGAGACCGCACGGGTGTGTCTGGGCCCAGATTGATCGTGGCTCTGTGGGTCGATTCCGAGGCCGGCGGAGGGTGAATCAGAAGCCCGGGTGTCAAGTAGGACACATGCATCACGGTCACCCAATGCATTTTGTGCAACAATCACACGAAAATCCTTGATATGGTCCAATTCCATGCCCCCACGATCATCGTATGCACCTGCGGTCGATGCATTCGGGGAATTGAAACTTGTCTGTAGTGGGTATGCATGGGCGTGGGAACGTCGGAGGAGGCTGGCATCGGGGAAAAGAAGACCGGAAGTATGCTCCTCTTCGGTAACCGACTCAAGAGGAGTGCCGTTGGTTCTTGAGGAGTATGCTGCCGGGTTTAAGGTTGAGGCGGCAGTGCTAAGAAGTCGGCCCAGCATGGTGAATGGAGCGGGTCGACCCAGGAAGAGAAACAGTTGGAGATGCAGGGAAAAAAGAGAACGGGCCGGTCGAATAACGCGGTGTAACGATGGGTATCAGACAGCTAGGGATCACTAGGCTGCATCCACCCATAGCTTAATTGGATTGAGCAGGAATCATCATCAAACGATGAGGAAATTGGGAAATGTCCGGAATGGAGAGAGGGGAGAAAGGTGGGATGGGCTGCATGCGGTGGGGCTCGAGATCAGCAATTGAGGGATTGCCGCTTCACCAGTGAGGACTCCACACTCTGATTATTGTGTCGCAACCCAGAAGGTCAAATGAAATGATCCCAGAGCTTTAAAGAGACCCAGTTCACTCGAATAGACAGGCCCGTTCCGGGGGAGTGGAGAGAAGGCGAAAGGGCGGTGAACGAGGTCACCTGATATCAGCCTCAGTCACAGTTGCGGATAGCGGCCAAGGGGCTACACCTTCTACAGATCGGGGCATCATGGGATCGATTCGGCAAGGATGGACCGGCTATCGGCAGGCTACCTAACTATCTGCTCAGGTGTGAATGAAGGCCTTCAAGGTCTAGGTAAGCAGGAAAATATGAGTCATGTTCCACGCAAAGCCACCCCGATCACTATCGGCGCCTCTGTCACTATTCACTACGGCCATTGTATCACCGCAGAGGTCGGCTTTGCAAGGAATTGTGTCACTCGAAGGCTCTAGTCTCTGTACGATTAGCAGGATTGAACCTCGGATTGGCAGGAAATGGCCGATCTTCCAACACGTTACTCATGGGAGGCACATGCGTCCACGGGTTCTATACACTGTCAGTCACACCTCGTGTGAGACAGGCATCATGCTTGCAACTGCAACCGTGATGGCGAAGCCTTGATGTGGTCGTTTTACACCGACAGGAAAACACCCTGGGCTCACTCTAGCCACGTGTTGTTGGTCCAACTGGGGTTGTTACTTGTTTCCTGCCCAGGTGGAGGTGCGTTGTAGATCCATGACTACGACCTCGGGAGTAACTCACTTATCCATCGACATTACTTGCAGCCCTGGAGCAACATTGGAAGCACCATGGTATATATTTCTTGAAAAATTATTGAAAAATTCTGACTCGGTTCATTGATTGTAAATGTACATTAATTTTCGACATTTCACATTCTGCAATCTTAATGAGAGCGTTTGACCTTGTCCACCAGACGCTTCAGTTCCTCGGCGTTGGACTCCTTGGAGGCCTTTTTCTGTTTCTTCTTGCTGTCTCGGCGTTCAACTGGTGCGTCGGTCTCAGCCTCATCACCGGTACGTCGGCGCTTACGTCCTTCATCCAGGAGAGCCTTCATGCCGGAAGTTGACTTGAATCGAGGGTTGGTGGGATCAATGGCGAAGTCGTGGCTGTCGTACAATCGCGAGAAGCGAGGATCGCTGACATTGACATTGAAGTCGTCCGCAGGGGCGGCGTCCAGCTTCTTGCTCTTCTTGCCCTTGCCCTTCTTGCGGGCCTGCTTCTCGGCCTTTTCAATTTCGTTCATATCAAAGTGTTTGATATTGGCCTTTTCATCGTCCACCATGAGAAGCTCCAGTTCAGCCCGCTGAGCAGCTGATGCAGCTTCCTCGGCAGCACGTTCCTCGCGCTTCTTCCGCCTCTCTTCCTTGCGCCGAGAGACAGCTGTGGCCTTGCCGTCAGGGTCTTCAAAGAATGGATCGTTGAAGCCAGCGTCTTCTTCCTCTTGCGGTGCCACCTCAGCTGGTCCGGCATCACTGTCCGCTTCATCTTCCTTGTCAGAAGCGTCCTCTTCACCACGCTTGGAGGCCTTGAGCTTCTCCTTGCGGCGCTTCTTGCGCTCGCGCTCCTTGCGCACATATTTCTCAACCGTTGTTTCTTCGATTTCCGGCTCATTCTCGAAGATACTGTCCTTGCCGCGACCACCAGCCAAGCCCGATGTAAATGTAACCTCCATCTCACCGACAGGGGCATCCGGCTTAGAGCGGGTAGGCTCGGCGCTCAATCCGAGCAATGCTCGCATGCGCTGTCTCTCGGCTTCTTTCTTAGACAGTTTCGTTGTTGACGCCTCCCCTCCAGTGGTATCGACGACTTCCACACCTCCTTCCTCGTCATCTTCACTCTCGTCCTCGGAGCTATCGCTGCCGAGGTACGCTTTCAGGTCATTCTCATCGATGTCTGCATGTGAGCCTCGGAAAGCACGGGCTTGGGCTTCTTTTCTTGATTTGTCGTCCGCGTCCCATGTCAACTTGACTTTGCTGTGTTGCAAAGCATCGGTGACGAACTCGGTAGGCTTATAGTCATCAGGAATGCGGGAGCACTCGTCGCGAGGCTTGTCATCGGAGAAGTCTGTGTCATCGGGGACAAATCGGAGATCGAAGAAGTTGGCACTGGAGAGGTACTCGGCACCGTCGATTAGGTCGTAGACATGCTTGGCGACGTCCTTTGATGAAAATTCGACGATGGCATAGAAGTAACGCAAGCGATCAAGTTGGTATCTTCGTAGTTGCGTAGAGTTGAACTCCTCGCCATCATCGCCCTTCAACATAGACTTTTTAATCTCTTCCTCCTCTTCGTCAGAGTCGACCTCGTCATCTTCGGAGCCATCTTGATTTTTCTTGCTCTTCTTGCCGCTGGCGAAAATTTCCCTTGGGGGGCCTTCCACCTCTTCCCGCTCCATGCGCTCCCTACCAAATTCGCTAGGGTAGACTGTCACGTTCAACACTCGCCCAGCAGGCGGGAGGAAGCTGGAGACGACTGTCATTAGGTCCTCCGCGCGAATGTTGTCCCAATCGAGATTGACCACCGCTATGCGGTTTGTCACTTCTCCGCTTGGCACATCGGACTGCTGCTTGTCGGGGAATTGTGCTTCTTCGTCTTGTTCGTCTTCTTCCTCCTCCTCTTCTTCTTCGCTGGAGCTCTCCTCAGATGATGAGGACTCGAAGCCACCGTCACGCGCGGGGTCATAAGAACTGGTGTTGATGCGTTTCAATTCTTTCCTGACTTCCTCGTCGTCGTCGTCCTCATCATCTTCGTCTTCATCATCCTCGTCCACCTGATAGAACTTCTTCAGTTTCTCCTTGGTGTCGTCCTTGGCCAGCTTTCGTCCGTAGCGATCAACAGCAGCATTGCGAGAAAAGTCCTTATCGTCAAGCATGTGCTGGAAGCGCTTGTCGAGCTTGACATGAGTCTGTCGTTTGCTTGGAAGACGGTAACGAGGGTCAGTTTGGATGTTCTCAAAACGAGAATCCGCTGTAAAGACATAAATCATTAGCACCCTGTGGATTTATCTCCAGGCTTTTGATTGTACATACTGATCACTGGGCCTTTTTCGCCTTTGGGCTTGCCGCCCTTCTTCTTCTTGTCCGAGCCTGCCATAATGGGCACTGTGAATGGGCACTAGACACACCAGATTTTCACAGGAAGCTTGTAAGGCCTTTTGGGTTTAACGAATTCGAATGGGGGATCGTCAAACTCGGCCAGTGGAAAGCGTCTTTGGCAGCGGAGACCGATAAATTATTTCTTTTTTCTGCCAGCCATAGCCAAGGCGGTCAAGCACGTGCCTCGCAGTATATAACCACCTGGACATCCCCCCCAAGGTCTTCACTCGAGGGCACTCGAAACTGTGATAAAACATAGTTAAAATATATCTAGTATTGCTAAATTCATGTTATTGCTAGAATAACTCCTAATGATGCAATTGCTGGCCTCGGAAATATGACATGAGCAACGTATATACGAAGGCAACCGAGGGTTTAGCATCCAAAGTATCGTTTCTCTATCCAGCGCGGCTCTCCCTCTTCCTCAATGCGTCCAACAATCACATGGATCTTGGGGAATACAGCGACTAGGCGCTTGAGACCCCGTTCACCTGCCGCGCAGGTCACAAAGACAATCCTGTCTTGTGATACTCCATGGTCAAGCAAAACACGGACAGCCATCAGCGCAGCACTTCCACTGGACATCTGCGAGTCCATCAGGATGACCGTAGAATGCTCCTCAATGCGCGGCGGTAGTTTCAGGTAATGCAGCTCTGGTTCTTCGTTGCTCTCGTTGGTTTGGATGAGCACGCGACCAGTGATGCAATCAGGGATAGATCGCTTGAGTGCTGTTTCCAGACAAGACCCTCCGCGTAGTATAGCGACAGCAGAGACTTCTCCCGTCGGATGCAGTCCAAGGTATTCATTACCTTGTGGTGTTTCCACCTTTGTGGAGACATACGATGTCATATCCAGGGCTCTGTGTCAGATTAGCACATCTGCGTTTTCCCGAGAAATGACAAGAGCTGTAGACGGATGTGATTACCTTTCAATCAGAATAGACGCCAATCGGTCAAAGTAGAACACAAAGTCCTCTTGCTCAGATTCTGGATTCTGCAAAATGGTGTTCATTCCAACGAATTGCGGTGTCGAAGGTAGCACGTGCACATTCGAAGGCAGGTCTACCTTGGCTGCAATCAATCCGAGTCTGTGGAGCTCTTCGGTATGGCTTTCGGACTTCTCTTGAAGCTTGCGCTGGATGTGTTTGACGACCATATCTAAGCCCTATCAGCAACAGGTCTTTCAAACAGGTCGGATTAACCCACCGATAGCGGTCTTGTTTTGGATGCCACGTGGAACGATGATATCTGTAAGGTCAAGCTTAGAAGAAGTTGTTGAATGGCAGCAAAATGGTATGACAAACCTGAAATAGAGCGTTGAGGTTCCACGAATCTTGTGTAAGAGGGCTTAACGTAATCAAACCATTGCTTCACAATGCCTTCAATGTCACGTCCTCGCTCCCGAACATCACGTAAAACTATATATATACTTGTCAGTCAAAGTTTGTGTTGTTTGCCATTTGTAAAACCCACTTCTGCGGCCCAAGCAGACATCCATGTCAGCCTCAACGAAGATCTGCACCAGGGTGATTAGCTTCGATAAAGAAGGTGGGCAGCGTTGGGATATACCTTCACATCTAACATCTCCACAATCCTGGGATCGTGCAGTGCCAGAATACCTTCAAGGATGATCACTCGAGGGGAATAGAGGGTTGTCGTTTGAGGTTGTCGTTGGTGATCAGCAAACGAGTAAACCGGGATGCTGGCTTTCTTTCTGAAGTATTACATCCAAATCAGATGGGAACACAGACAGTCCACTCAGCACAGACTCACCCTTTCTTGAGATCCCGCAGAGTAGAAACCAAAAGATCGAAGTCGATCGAGTCTGGGCAGTCAAAATCATAATCATTTGCGTGAGCCCGGTGATGTTCCTCGGGAGATAAGGTCTTGTAGAATGAATCCTAGGCGGAGAAGATTAGACCAAATTTTATTCCGAGCTTTTAAACATAGTTGGAAAAGCTGTACCATTACTAGAATCACCACCCACGGCAAGTTCAAAGACCTGACAATCTCCATGGCCACAGAGGTCTTGCCAGAGCCGGAGCTACCAGCGATGCCGATGATGCTCAAGTCCTGCCATGGTGGAGAGTATCGCACCTCGGTGGACATAGAGTAAAAGGGTGATATCGACTCCATATCTACAGCGTACCTTCAAAAACCGTAGGTATCTTCGAGCTTAACGAATTTTGAATGCGCGATCTTGAGACAGAGGGCCCACGATCATTACATAACGAGGCCCGAAAGAGCTTAGTGGGCGGGCTGCACTGTGATTGGCCAGAAGAACTGGAGCCAGACTGAGTCAGCGTCTCACTTGGGTTTAGCGCAGGATGTTCGCTTAAGCTACTTCTTCGGCCGCGAGCGGTTTCTCTCTTTTCACTTCCGCATCCAACCCGGTCTTCTCCCACAAGCGATTTGCCTCTCCCCATGGCTGTCGTCTCTTGGGGTTTCCAGTTCTACGGATAGCTTTGGACCAGATATCAGACTGGTTAGCTCATAATGTCGTCGGCTAATCTCGTATGCTTCTCGGGTTGAAAACCGTGGTCGCTGGGATTTAACACTGTGCAGATGTCTCGCACTTCATCGACTGCGACTCCAACTTGGCACAACTTCGAGCGAAAGCTCGAAGAGGTCAAACCATCCAAAACGTGAGTTTTACCTCCCGCGCCCCCCTTTCCACAACACCGTGACATGATGTTCTTGAAAATCAAGTTGGGAATCTCTCTGAAAACATGTGAGGAGAAACAATTGACTTGTCCTTCTGATTCGCGTCATGAATGCAAAAATTTTACACAATCATCTCCCAACATGGTTGCTAATGGTTTTGATACAGTGATATAAACTATTTGGTCATGGATTACCTTGTCACGAACGGATATCCGGCTGCTGCGAAGAAATTCGCAGCTGAAGCCAATATTCAACTCACGACTGATCTCCAAGCTATCCAAGAGCGGGTTGATATTCGCACTGCCATTCACTCTGGTGATATCCAGGTGGCAGTGGAGAAGATCAACGAATTGAGCCCTCAGGTAAGAATATTCTGTTTCTTTCACATCCACCCCTTCCCACGGCCTTCTGTGCCTCGTTGCTATGATTATACCAAGTTTCATGCACCACTCTTAAGACCCCTTCGGGGGCATTTGCAGAAAAACAAACATCTTCAGTCCTCAGTATGAGCAACTGCCAAACCATTGAATTTCTTCTCAGCACATCACTCATCTTGTGAATGCAATAGCTAACCGAGAATTCAATAGATCCTTGACGAAGACCAATCTTTACATTTCGCCCTGCTGCGCTTGCAACTGGTTGAATTGATTCGAGTCTGCATGGACACCCCTGGTAGCGACATCACCTCGGCTCTTGACTTTGCCACGTCGCAACTGGCACCGCGCGCTCCCACAAACCCTGCCTTCCTAGCGGACCTCGAGCGGACGCTGGCCCTCCTTATTTTCCCAAGTGATAAACTGGACCCTGCATTGGCGTCGCTCCTAGACCCGGCACTCCGTAAAGAAATCGCAGCCCGAGTTAACGAGGCAATTCTGCAGAATCAGGGCGCTCGTAGAGAGGCCCGGCTGCGGAATCTCGTGAAGCTCAGGGCTTTCGCCGAGCAAAAGGCGCGCGACACCAAGAAAGACATCCCAGATACCCTGGACATCGGCTTGGTTGGCGATTCTCATAACACCAGTAACAGTAATGATCTCGCTACTAATGTTAATGACATCGTGATGTCTAACAGCGACAACGATCAAATGATCTCTTGATGAGATCTGAGAACCAAGACGATACCCTTGGCTTGGGCCTGAACCCACCTTGTCAGAGTTTTTTTCTCTTGCTATTTTGTGTCTTCGACTAGCGTGGCGTCTGTGATCCACATTTTTCGGCGTTTCGTGGCTGTCTTCAACGGGTTCACCATGGGCGGTTACACCGATAGCCTTGAATTTCAATGCTTGCTTTCATACTTCACGCGTCCACCGCTTCCAAGGTTCTCTTCCAAGGTTAGAACACTTTCACGTAGTTTATTGAAACACATGGACTAACTACGTGCGTACAGTGTACATTGTTCTATATTACGGAGCACGACATTCAAAGGTTCCAACCTTGAAGTTGTACCTAGGTAAACCAGAGCATCATAGATATATGTAGCCAGCCCCAGCAAAACAGCATGGAGCTTCAAATCCTTTTAAGTAAAAGTGCAAATCTAAACCGCTGAGCTATTATCAAATGAAGCAAGATCGAGGAAAGATCTATCGGATATGTCGAGATAGACATGGGGTCAATCGAATAGAATGTTCCAAGGTTGGCTTGGTGCAAATCAGAGTACCGAGCCTGTGCAACTCAGTGCGAGAGATACTGGCTTAGAAGCTCATGAGATCTGTCGGAGCAAGGTTAGCTGCCATCGAAATATACTTCACAATATAAACCACGAGTGGAAATCATACCTCTTCCAAAGACGGCTCTCTTGGCCCAATCCATAGCTAGCATACAGCGGGTACGGAAGCTCACGCTCTCGGCAAAGTAGATACTGCGCCAGAGATACATGGCAATGACACCACCGCTGAAGCTCATACCGCCAAAGTCAAAGATAGCCGCGTTACTAATGTACGCCAAGCTACCAAGGTGTCTATACTTGAAGGCCTTGTAAACGGCCTCGTCAAGGTCACCGTAGTCAATTTCGTTGGCCTTGAGACCAGGGAGAGCAGCCGCAATCTTGGTGAGCTTGCGACCAAGGTAGACGCCCTGCTGGTTAGCACGCTGAGCGGTGGCAGGCAAAGAAGTAAGCTTGGTATCGATTTGATGCAGGAGTTCAGACAGCTCGCCGTAGTCGAGGGTGCCAGAGTGGTCCTTGTCATACTGCTCGAAGAGTAGGTCCAAGCGGCGGAGATGGTTTGATGCTTGGGGGAAGCGTCTCTTTACGCGGCCAGCAAACTCCGTCCACTCGGGGAAGGTGAGGTGCACCTTCTCTGGATCACGGCCCTTCTCCCAGGCGATCGTGCGGAGGAAGCGAATAATGTTGTCTGCAACGTTGTTCTGAACCGTTGAACAGTCACCGATCGCGTAGACATCACCCAGGGGGGCGCCAATCACACGAAGATGAGCATCGGTTTCGAGGGCATGCTTGTTGTTCTGTCCTTCCAATTTGTTGGAAAGGGTTTCGGAGATCTCGGCGCGAGCTGATGATATACATTAGGACGGAAATATGGAACCCTGGATTCAAGCATTTACTTACCGACACCAGTAGACCACAGGCAGAATGCGGTTGGGATCTCTTTAATGATAGTCTTGCCGTCTTCAACCTGTGAGAAAAGGACTCGATCGCCGCGGACCTCCTTGACACGGGCATTGGTCAATACCTCAACGCCATCGCGTGTGAAACGGCCCTATTGTGTGTTAGAACAGGTACGATTTGATCACTCGAATAAGACAGTTACCCACCTCAGCGTACTTAGAAAGGGCCTCATCGTAGGTGTTCAGAATGTGGCTTCTGCTCTGGATGATGTGGACGGAGATCTCATTCCGAACAATGCGAGGGAAAGAGCGGAGCAAGTCCTCATTCAGAAGATCGTACAACTCAGCGGCAAACTCAACACCAGTAGGACCACCGCCACAGATCACAAAGGAGAGCAGACGTCGACGCTCCTCGTCGGTAGTAGTAGGGAGGCAGGCCAGCTCCATATTCTCCAGCACCTTGTTTTTGATCCGACGGGCATCGTCAATCGTTTTCAAGAAATCACAGTGCTCGAGGCCCTTGACTCCATGCGGGTTGGTGATGCAGCCTAGAAACACCCTCAGGTTAGTATATAGAAGCATAGACTTGCGTGACTGAACGTACCAACGCCAACAACAAGTTTGTCATATGGCAAATAGAAATTCTTCCGTACACCATCGTTATCAACTTGCGATACTTCGACCAATTTCGCAGAGAAGTCAACATCGGTCGCGGAGGCCTTGAGGAAGTGACCATTGACGCGCTCGATGATCCGCCTCACGGGTTCAACAAGAGATCGAAGACCCAAAGTACCCACAGTGGCAGAGGGCAGCATGGGAGTGAACAAGAAGTAATTCGTGGGCGAGACGACAGTAACGTGGTAATCACTCGGGTTCAAGTTCTTGAGCAGCGCAATGCTACCCCAGCCCGTGCCCAGAATGACCAGACGGGGCTTATCCTTCTGCTCCAGCATAGACTCGGAGTCATAGTCGCCGACAAGGACGTCAGCGATAGGTAGGTTCTTCGGGCCTCCGCGGCGTGGATTGAGAGCCAGCTCCGAAACGGGAATATCGGCGGCTGTCGTACTTTCGTGGTAGGTACTAGCATCGTAGATAAAGAAGGCCACCACAATAGCACCGCTGGAGACGATAAAAATACCACAATATGTAAACAATTTGGTCAGAGCGGCTGCAATGGCGGAGCGTCGCGCAGGTTGGACTTTGGCTGCGATCTCGGACTTGTCGGATTTAGACCGGATCGGCGTGGATGTCGGTGCCAAGGTGCGCCATTGGGGCATGGGACGCCGAGGAGTGTGTAGGGAACGTGCGGACGATGGTCGACATGACAATGAGGTCTTGGAGGCATGGACCCGGGTGGGTAATGATTCCATTGACCGAAGCGCGGAGCCGGCTGCCCGACGGCGCAGCATTGCGTTCAGCATTGTGAGGTGCAAGGGGAGGCTTGCGACGGAGATATGTTCAATATACAGAGACGAAGCAGCTCATGGCCCGTCCCTGTGGACTCAAATAACGAGTGGCCTGGAATACAATCACAAAGGGAAGACTGGAGAAGGAGAAAAACGAATCCCAATCAAACCGGAAGACAAAAAATGATGCCAGTACACACCTGCATCGATCTGCGACGTCATCTGGGCGCAACCACGTGACCGCGACTCGGGATCCCGGCAGCAGAAGGAAGAACTCATACGACAGCCAGTGGAATTTTCACCGACAACTTGATCTAGATAAAAAGGATATTCGGTTTGCCGAACTGTTTTGGGATTTATGAAGGATTTTCTATTATATACTCATAACTAATGGATATCGGAGCATAGGTATGGACAAAAAAAAACAAAAGCCACTCCACACCGTAAGCAATGTAGGACAAAACAGGTCATCACCCATTAGACTGTGAGATAAATAAACGCCGACCTCGCTTGGACATGCAGATTGAAAGAAGTAGAAAAATAGGGATCTCCTATGCATAGGAAGGTGTGGGTACGCGTTATCAGTCCCAATCTAGGGCGTCGTCCGGTTCAGCGCTGGATTTCTTCTTTCCGGATGAGCTTTTCCGGTTCCTGGGTCGCTTGTTGTGGCCTGAGCTGGAAACAGAGCTCTTGCGCTTCATGTTCCGGGGAGCCACTGCCTCGTCGGCTTCGAAAGTGGCATCCAGACTGTCCCCTTCTGCGTCCTCATCCGGATCGACTCGGAATTCTTCGTCGATCGAAAGCAAAGTTGAAAACTCACGGCATTTTTGATGCATTGCTTCATCGCTGTCCAACGCAGTCATATTGCGAGCAATGGCTTCCCAAAACCTCTCACCAGTCACTCCATGAGCTTTGGTGGCAGCTTTGTTGAGATCCTTCGCAGCAGGTTTTCCCTCCTTGCTCTTGCTGTGAGCATTCACGCCGTAGAGACGCCTGAGATGGGTTCGAGCTTCCCAGAGCATGGATAGTGATGCAGCTGCCGTGGCTAGCAACCTCAGGGTTGCAGGATTGGCTTGTCGCGGCATGACTGTCGGTGGCATCTCAGGCGCAAACCCTGGCACCATGTTGCTGGAAGCATCAAAGTGAGGAGCACCAATCGGGGTGGGAGAGATTTCCGTTTCAATCGCATGTGCAACAACAGTGCCAGTAGCAGAGACAATGCGTTCGATGCCAGATATAGTTGGCAAAAGCTCAGCCAGTTGACCATAGTCAAAATAGGCAAGGTTCTGGGAGATGAACCGCGAGAGTAGGAGATGTTCGGGGGGATCGCCCGTCGCGTCCAACTTCTTCAGCTCAAAGTCGACTTTAGAGCAGAGGTTGGACAGAAATTTCTTTTGATAGCGGCTGTTGCTGATTTTGACAATCTCAAACAACGGGGCGAGTTTGGAGACGTACGGCCGAGGAGTAGCACCCTGGGAATCCCCAACAATGTCACGCTGGTAGTAGAAAGCTTCCTGCACGGCTCGCATGTATTCTCGCTCGAACATGGATTCGTATTGCTGGTGAAGCATCTTGTGGGTCTCAAAGGCTACCTTGGCAATTGCCGGGACAGTAGAAGTCTCCAGTGAGACCAGAACACCAGCGCATTCCTTGGGATGCACCAAACCCTGCCGGTTGATGCTGGCAATGAGCTCAATGGCGGTTAAAGAGTAGGTGTCCTGACGAGACTGCGCGACCTGAAGCATGTTTGAGAGGAAGTGCTGGGCAATCAAAGCAGCCGCACCATCGTTGTCGCTCGCTCTCAGGGAGCCTCCTAGCCTGGTGTCTTCTTGGGACACTGTGTCTGCAGCTGGCATGACAGCCTTTTCGGACTTGCCCTCGTGGATGGCGAAAAAGTCTGCAAATGACCGAAGAACTATGTTCTGCAGGGCAGGAGCATCTTCCTTGAATGTCTGGGCAAATGTCTGTCGCGTGCATTCCCTGCCAAATTGACCCGGCCAAGACTGGCATACAGACCCCAGGCTCTCAAGCGCCATGACTCTCAATTCAAAGGGCTGGTTTGATCTAGTGAAGGGGATGATAGAATCAACCATCAACGCCGCCACTGAGCCACCGCTACCACCAGGCCAAGAGGTTTGGAACTCGCTCTTAAAATGCGATGCATACTTCTCAAGATCGCAGTGCCGCCCAACACATCCTGCAATTCGAATGTAACTCTTTGCGCGAGCCAAAATTGCTGCGTGGGCGGTTGATGCGAGATCCATGCTCTTATATTGCTGCAATGGCTTCAATACAGAGACCGTGAGCTTCACAAGCCTGTTTGTATTTTGCAGAACGCCGTTGATGGTCCACAAACAGGCCATGACTTCATTGAGTTCAGGGCGGGAAAGTTTGGCGACACTCTTGAAGAGGTCGTTCTGGACTTCCTTGAGGAGAGTGTTGTGAGATGAGGATAAGAATGGCAGAACGCAGCGGTAGATCACCACTACCGAACGGAATATGAAGAGGTCGTCGGTAGTTGAGAGATTGCCAATATAAGGGTGCAAAGCCTCCAGCTGATCAGGGCTAAATAGCTTCGCATTTGCCTTGGCAAACACAGTGATCGTTTGCAGGAGAGCCTGTTGGAATTCTTTGCGAGATCCATCTGAGTCTTCCACCAATCTTTCGAACATGGTTGCAACCATCGCCTTGCAAACTTTGAAGTTAAGAGCCGCGGACTTGGATTTATCCGAAAGCACTGCGCCGAGGCAAATGCTAAGGGAGTCCAAGGCAGTCTCGCTGCGCTCGGCCAGACCTACAATGAGGGTGACCTGCTCCCCGAGAGCCATCTTAAGCTTAGGGTCAGAGGTTGAGTCAATGGAGTCATGGAACGGAGTGAGCCATATCTCTTCGAATGTTTGGCGAGCCAAGGCTGCCACGCTTTCCTCGTGATCACCAGTGCGCTGTAGAAAGCTGTCCAGAATAGCGAGCTTGAGCTCCTTGCGAGAGGTCTTGTGGTAGATCTCTTTTAGCAGGCCAATGCAGCGTTTGCGGACACCGGCAGTCTGGTCAGCCGCACAGGCCAAGATGCTTCGGCATCCTTCTTCTTCGAGTTTCGGCTTAAACCCGATACACTGTCCAATCAGTTGTAATGCCGAGTCTCGGACCATAGGCGAGGCGTCCGTCGTGCACCGATGAATCACGCGCAAGACAGATGGGTCTCTGTCCAGCAGATTCGGATCTTTCTCAAGCATGTAGATGACACTTTTGAGACTACGGCTGCGGACCTTGGCTGAGTCACCAAGGAATGAAGCAAGAAGAACCTTCAGAATGGTATCAAACGCTTTGCCAAAGTTTGAGTTCAAGACAGTCAGGATATAGGCGAACTTCCCGTGCACATGCGGCACACTGTCAAACTCTTGGTGCGTTTCCAACCAGCGTGGGTCAGATAGCGACTTGGCCAGGAAGACGACCAATTCATCAGTCACATCACCGTGCGCGATCTCCTCGTTCTCTTCAGAGCTGTAATAAAGTGCAGAAGCGGACTTGGCCCATTGGGCCAAATAGTAGCCGCGTGCACTAGTGAGTTGCCAATTGTCCCCTTTCTTTTTGTCCTGCACCAGGTGTTCCAGTGCAATTCTGTGTGGACCATTAGGGGCAATGAGGTCTTGCTGGTGAAGTGCACCAGATGTGAAGTCCTCAAATTGTTGCTTTAAGTAATCAGTGAGTTCAGAGTCAGAGTTGTCTTCCAAGGCCGGAAGCATATGCTGAGCAGTTGCTATCAAGTCTGAGATAGCAGATCCCATCCAACCCAGCAATTCCAAAGCCATGCTTTTTGCGATTGCTGCACTCTTGTCTTGGTCCGTGATCTGAATCATGCGTAACGCCAGGATACGCAGCAACAGTTCAGCAGCTGGCCAATCGGCCAATCCAAGAACGTTGATCAGGTCCTGGGTAAAAAGGTCGAGGATGTTCCGGTATGGCTGATCGCCGGTTTTCGTCGAGTTCATAGCACGCTGGACAACGAAGTTGACGATGTATTGTGCCGAGCGCATTGCGTTGTCATAGAGCCGGTTGGCCTTGCTGGCCAGTCGTTCCAGCGACTCTTCTGTCTCGTTGTCAGACCCGTCATTTTCGAGCTTGCCATCGCCCATGAGTTCATCGTCGTCGTCGTCGGTCTGCGCCTTGACACGGGGATTAGGTTTAGATTGTGACGGCGTTTCTAGCGCGGTCGTTTGAACAAGCTGAAGCACCAGCGCAGTGAGAAGTTGAATGCTCTTGCCATCAGCGACCTTAAATTGCCTGGCGTTTTGGCGCGTCGTGGGAAGTTTTTCCAACGACACCAGAATCTCATCCAGGATGAAGGGCCGTTGATCGGGATATTTGGAAAAGATCTTCGCAAGAACATCCATTGCGCCACGCCTTGCGGGCTCATATTTCTGTTGGCCTAGAACAGAATCCTTCTCATGGTGGGCATTTTCCACGAAGATGAGCTTTGCTGCGAAGAATTCCGTTGCTGTAATTGTGCCCTCTGAAACATCGATGCGCGCCAAAAAGTCAGCGAGGAGAGAAAGGGCCTTTTTGCTCTGATGGACAAGATTCCCGATGATTCGCTTCTGGGCTGAGAAGAATTGGAAATGTTGGCCGTCCTTGCCACCTGGACGCGATTCCACAGCAGGAATGATACAGTGGTCAAAGACTTGATTGAGAACGGTTGGGATGGCCTCGATGAGATCTTCCGGGCAAAGCTCCCGCTCGGTTTGACGCCCGGACATGGTTTGCAGTAATGTGCTGATTGCGACAAGTGCAATTGTAACATCGTCGATTTTCCCCAGCCATTCCTGCAGCTCAAGCTCACTGCTACTTGATGAATCGCCCAAGGCCAGACCCAGGGACTGTGCAGCAATTATAGGCTTTTCGCACAGTTTCTGGATTCGAGTAAGGTAGTCGGAAGGTATGTCCTGGAGTCGATCGAACCCTGCCACTTTCCTCAGGGCTTTCTGGAGCCGAATGTGAGCATCAGCTGAAAGTACCAGCCCATGCACCTCTAATGATTGGGCGTTCACAAATGTCGGATTGGGCGTGTCATTGGACGGGTTAGAGCTATCTGGGTCAATTTGATCCTCCGCTTCGAAGATTTCGTGTAGAAGATCTTGCAATTTTTGCAAGGCCTCATCTGCTTCCGCTTTCTGATCCTTTAGCCGCACCGCCATCGCGTGATCCCCGCTCTCTTTTGGATTCACATGGACGACAGACGAGGGCAATGGCTTGACTGGAATGACCACAGATAATTGGCTTGGTGTCGGGGTGTTTGAGAACGAGGCCGGTTTCGATTTGTTTGGCGGGTTTGCGCGTTGAATAGGAGTCCTTGGAACTGGAACTGGGATCTCTTTGAGGTTGGGTTTGGTGTTTGCTTCGGGATCTGCGAGTGCAATCAGCCCATGGTCATTCTTTGTAAACTGGGGGGGGGGGGGCTCACATCGGAAGGCAATGTCAGTAGAGTCGAGCATCATACGCGCAAAAGATCCAAGACTGTCGCGACCCGAGGGCACAGGTTGAGATTCATCTCTGCTCAGCTGTTGACAGCGAGCGGGAAATCGAGGGAGCTTGAATTTACTAGGAAAGTCCAAATGAGCTTGGGTGTGGTCTCGGGGTGAGTTCCAAGGCGCCTTACAATTCTGTCAGATGATCCCCGTGTAGCAGCTGCTGGATATATTCCCTGGATGTCTCCAGGCGACCCGATTCATTTTGTCCGGATTGCTGTATCTCCGCGTCGAGTTCAGCGAGTGTCTTGCGGCCTTCTTGGAGGACATGATTTATGGAAGTAGAATTCGAAGGTCGTCCAACATCAGGGCGTACAATGCAGTCTGCTATCATCAGCTTTCGAAAATCCTTTCAAGTTCCGGGGGGGCTCAACATACCGAGGCCAAAGACAGGCGCACTGGACATGGATGAATACTGCAGTGCTTCATCCACAGACAGTGGCCGGGGCTGGGCTTGGTGATTCATGGCGCCATAAGGTCGTTGAGGGTGGCCATGGCCGTTAATGACCACTTGGACGGCCGGGCGTCCATTCTGGTCCATTCTCGCGGTTACATAAGAGGAAGGCGCGGGTCACAATGTTGACATGCTCCTGGTAGAGACATGGCAATTAAGGCAGAAGTGCCTTAGGACATCTCTAGGTCGTGGTAAACAATTATAACATATGAATTCTGCGACTGCTGAGCTCCGGATGAGTTCATGAATTCCGTTCTAGGTGGTGGCCACTACTGCCGCGTGTGACCGCCGAGGCTCGTGCGTCTAAAAAAAAGTTGCTTCAATGGCGCCGAGCGCTCGCATACTCTACACAACAAAACGAAAATATGTCGGTCATTGGTTCTTTGATCTTCTGCACAGATTGCGGTAACCTCTTGCGAGAGTCTACTGGCAATGCGAATGCGGTTCTCCACTGCGATGTCTGCGGCACCCGGAACAAAGGTGGGACATAAAGAAATGCTTCGACTGCGCTTGGCTAATTTTTTTGGTTGCTTTCAGACACGATACCCCAAACCACGGTTTCCGAGTCGAAGGCCTCCGCATTCCCTTCATCATTGAGAGCCAAGCGATCTGCCGTCCAGACTCTGTCGGCCGACGACCGGAAGACCGAGGCTGTCATTGAGAAAACATGCCCCGACTGTGCCAGAAAAGAGATGTTCTACACCACTGTACAGCTGCGCAGTGCTGATGAAGGAAGTACGGTCTTCTACAGATGTGTTTGTGGTTTCAAGTATGCGAATCCTGTCCTGCATGGCCGACGCTGGATGCTAACATTCACCAGGGAAACCTCGAACAATTAATGGAAGACGGAGTGTACAAAATGTGGAAAAAGGTCTATTTTTGGAGAAAGGGTGTATAGTAGCGCGCAAGAATATCACAATCACGACGTCACGAGACAATTTTTTATCTTTTTCTCTCGCGGAATATTCCTCATGCGGCAGCAACGGGGGCAGCACTGTCTGGAATCAACGCATACTGTGTCTCGCCGTTCTTCTCGAATTCGGCCATGTCAAGCGCAACAATGACACTGTCGCGGACCACCTCATCGGGGTCATTCAAGAACTTCTTCAGTGTCTCTTCAACGCCCTCCTCGTCACCCAGACTGCCCAGAGCCTCCGCCGCTTCGTGACGGACCATGCCAGCCTCGGAAAGATCACTCAGTGATGCTGTGAGACTGGGGATCGAAGCGGGGTGGCAGAGCTGGCCGAACACAAAGGCGACCTCGTGGCGGAAGAGCGCAGAAGGATCCTTGAGACCCTTGGCCAATGCATTCACGGCATCAACCGCCGTGGGAAGGTCTGGAGGCGAGGCGAGGTCACGAAGGCCGAACATCGCACGGTATCTTTGGAACAGAGGGAGCTTAGTGTCGAGGAGTGTCTGCTCCAGGTCGGGGATACAGGGTTCGCTGGATTGCAGAGGCATGGGAGGAGCAGGGTCGATAGAGCCAAAGTCACTAGAAAAATATCATGTCAGACCACACAGACGCTTATGATTGCGCGTATGTCGGAAGGTGCGCATACCTAGGCTTCAATTGTTCCGCCTTCTTGGCCTCGGAGTTTTCCCAGATAATGCGGTCGACCGCGATGTCGCATGTCTCCCGGATAATGTCCAGTTCCTTGGCATCATCTCTCAGGCGCTTGAGCAAGTCCAGGCTGTCTTCGTAGCCTAGAGCGCCCAGGGCCTCGGCGGCCTCATGGCGGCACATCGCATCCTCCTCTGTGTCATTCACCACATGCTTGAGGTATGGGACAGATTCGATGTTCTTGGTCTGGCCCAGGCAGTAAGCCAGTTCGTGCTTGAGCAGGGCGGAAGGTGACGCGAAGCCCGCGGCGATCGCCTCGATGGCGGGGAGGCTCTGTTCGGTTGGAGGCTGCAGGCAGGCCAGGTGCTTGAGGGAGAACAGAGCGCGGAAGCGGCGAGCTAGGGGCTCTGACTCTGAAGTCAAGACTTTGCGAAGGGCAGGGACAGTGTCGGACATTTTAATGGTATAGAGTAGTGGAAAAAAAGTGTCCCGCGCGCAACTAGATCTTATCAATTTTGCGAGAGTGGGGGGCGGGGCGAGGCGCTCAAGTTTTTTTTTTTTCGCTCGTACGTTTCTTTGGCCCGGCACGCCGTGTTATCAGATTGTTTTACTCCGTATTTGCATTTCAGCTGTTTGTGTTTTGGTTTTTGATGCGTATTGCAAATACCTCTCTATATAGATAGCAAGTGTTCTTTTCTCCTACCTAGGTAGCTAATAGGCCAAATAGATAGTGGAGGGGCAATTGCAATCTCCAGGGCTCGTCTACCCAGGTGGTTGACAGCCATCTGATGTCCCGAGGTCGCTACAGGTAGTACCTCTAGGCAGTAAGTGTAACGGGTTAGACCTGTGTAGTATATGAGTGGAAATTTACCAAAGTGCAGCCACTGGGACGGCAACGAGCTAGGCACATCTAAAGCCCGTTGAAGATGAGATATCACTGAGAGTACCTGGGTACGATCTTTCAAGATTGGAAGTAGAAACCTTGGAAGAATTGAGCTCGAAATACTAGGTAGTAGGGCATTAAGGCCTCACACTTTCCAAGGTTCCAGCCTTGGAGGTTATTCAGTGCAGGTACAGCCATATATACATCCCTGCATGGTCTTTACCTGGAAGATACAACCAATAGCGGTGCCTAATTGCCAGGTTCACATACCTACCTAGGTACAAGTATAGTAATATGTATATAGCGAAGTTCCAAGGGTGGCCCTGAGAGAAACGTTTCACCTGGACCTCGGACGTTAGGGCTTACTCCAGACATAGATGATCTTAGCCCAAAGCGATGATGATCCCCATGCTTTCACAATCACCTGGGTAGAACTAGAGCATCTCCACCACCTGGGCAAGGCTGGTTATGTACTACCTAGTACTACATGTATATTTAAACATCTGAATTGACCCGCTTTTATACCTATGTAATGCCCAGTGAACTTGGAATGTGAAGGATATGAAACGAGCCCAAATTAATTCTATTAGTATATCCATTATAAATCATACATGCTCTCGCTCGGTCTTGGGCTCATTGTCTGTATCCGTTGTAGTTTGTGTGACTTCGGTCGTTCTGTGAATCCCGAGACCCATTTCACCCTGCCTATTGGGCATATATCGGTCAAACGTCAATCTTTCCTCACTACTACTCGGACTTGAAGACTCGGCGTATGTATCACCATCCCGCTGGCTTTTGATTGTCGTCACCGTAACGGCAAGCTTGTCCGGTCTCAGTCGAGATTGGTGGGAATCGTCTATAGAGCCGAGAGGAAAGGACCGCTCGTGCCCGGCCAGCTGGCGCGAGGCAGACCGTGATCTTCCGCCCGGAAACCCACTCGAGTAGTCGGGGTCGGTGCGAGAGCCCATGATGACGCGGAGAAGAGGTCGGAGGGTTGCGAGACTACCGGCGGTGATGCCCAGGCCGGCTTCGATGTTGGACCAAATAGCGATTTGAATAGTGGCGTCTGTAAGTTAGATGTTAGTTATAGATGTCATAGCCCAGAGGCCCGTTTGGAATGGGGAACCGTACAAAGGAAATCAGCCTCGGCGAAGGTTTTGACGAAGGGAATACGAACGATGACCGCTGATGAAGCACTGAAGAATTGGAGGTCAGTCGCTTGATAACTTGAGATAAGAACAAGGGAACATACATGCAGGCCATGCTCAGAATGCCCATTACAGCAATCTTGGTCTGGCGCTTCATGTGCAACTTGTGCACGAGGAAGATGGGCAGGATGCCCACGGTGAAATCGCACAATGCGGCAAACGCACTGTAGACATAGGTCATGCTAATGATGATGCCAATATCGATGCACCAACCCGCGTCTGGATCTGCCGCCCGCGTCCAGAAGAATTCCAATGGGTGACACTGTAGCAGCATCAAGAACATGAAGACCAACCCCGCCAGGACGGTCAAAGCCATGACGATGTATAGGGCCCAGATATGAAGGCGTCGAATGGTGATACGCATCAAGAAAATGCAGACGGAGATCTTGCATCCGATGGAAGAGAAGCAATAGGCGATTTCGCAGAGCCACCAGTATTTCATGGCAATGGCGGCGTTGGCGGGATCAAGACTCGCAAACTTGTATCCTGTGCCGTACAGGGTACCTCCGATCATGCAGGCGCAGAACATGACATAAAATAGCTGTGAGGTCGAGTTAGACTTCGAACGCTCTTCACACACTGCCTGAGATCGCAAGACCCAGAGGTTTCGGTTGACATACCAATGCTACCACCATGGCGCCATCGTCCCATCCAAACGCCTTGACGATCCATCCACGCACATAAATGCGCAGCATCACACTTATGGTAGCGATGGGTAAGAATACGGCGGCCACGACCTGGACCGCCATCTTCCTGCTGTGTTCATCACTCATCGTGTCACCAACGTTCACTTCTCATACTCTCGCATGTGTCTCGCCAGTGTGGGGGGGAAGGATTCAGTTTTTAATATAACCCCTGTCAAGACGTGCAGAAATCTTAACTTAGGGGCACATAAGCAAAGAAGACTTGGGTCCTTGGCTGAAGTGGGCGTTTTTTAGTCGGGGAATACGAAGCTAGACCACGCGGAGATCGACCGTACGGCTCGCTCGATTTGGGCAAAGTAATTCATGCATAAGCAGTTTAATTTCCGATACGAACGCGATCGAGTTGGGAATATCGGACATTATCACCTCTGCCACACCCACCGAGACGACTCCAAAAGAGGGGTGGGGATATCTGGCAATGACAGGTGTCGCTGCCAGTGACAGGTGTCTGAAGATGTGCGAGTTCTCCGTACTGTTACTCGTGGCGTAATTGACTTCGCACAATCTCAAAATTCAGTGACGTTTCGGTGCTAGACCCAGGCAGTTCAGTTGCCGCAGCGAGTGAGAAAGAGTGTATCCAAGCTAGCGATCCACCCTTGGGTCTAGCTGCGTTTGACCCTGCGAAGGGATCCACCGTCGGCGATGGAGACCCAAAATGGAGACTACCGGGTCTCGGGAGGTGAAGAGTTTGGGTCGATGGAGCATTCGAAATTGCCAGGATTGGTGTGCGATGCAACAGAGGCGATCCGGATTCAGACGATCCCGGTTCGTCAACTGCTGTGCGGGAAACAATGCCCTTATCCTGATAGGGGGAAGCCAAGACGCTTATTGCTGATGGTCTCAATGGTCCCAATGGTTCGAATTGTTTCAGCTGCAGTCTAGAAGGTGAGACCCAAAATTCGGCGAGATCAAACCTTCACGACCTTGGAAGTTTGGCAGTGGCTGCTTTCGGCTTCCGGACGGGTTTTGGAGATGTTTGCACTGTTTGCACTATCTATACTGAGGGTAGCGATTGATAGTAGTGAAGAATAAGCACTAGATGCGGAATGCTCATTGTAGGAGCAATTTTCAAAGAACCTTGAAGTGCTCGTGTGCACACTCCCCTATAGTATAACTACTCGATAGTATAGTAGTACTAGTAGACGTAGTATATTAGCTCCGCTGAGAATCGGAATTAATATCGGCCCCCGCAGCACTTGTAAACACCCCGCAATCTCAACCTCCTTCAAACCTCAGGTCTTCATCCATATCACATTCGACACAATGGCGAACGTAGATGTTCCAAACACGCAAAAGGCATTCGTGCCACTCGGTAGGGCTCCTCCTACATCTATAGATCTCCAACTGACGGGGCCAGAAAACAACCCAGAGGTGATGTCGCACCTGGTGCATCAACTCGGTCTACCCCCCACCATAGGCTTCACCGACGTGTTCTCAATCGACGAACCAGAGCTCCTCGCCTTTGTACCACGGCCCTCCCACGCCCTCCTTCTCGTCTTCCCTGTCTCCAAAACATACGAAGCGTCCCGGGAAACTGAGGATGCCACCAAAGACCCATACACCGGCTCCGGTCCCGATGAACCTGTCATGTGGTTTAAACAAACAATCCGGAATGCATGTGGTCTGATCGGATTACTGCACGCCGTGTCCAACGGCGAGTCACGCCAACACGTCATTCCAGGCTCAGATCTGGATACTTTACTCAAAGAAGCCGAAGGGCTGGAGCCAATCAAGCGTGCCGATCTGCTGTACGACAGTAAGGCGCTGGAAAGTGCGCATGCGGACGCGGCGAAGTTGGGAGACACTGCTGCGCCGGAGGCAGAAGATAGTGTGGATTTGCACTTCGTCGCCTTTGTCCGCGGGGTGGATGGTACGCTGTGGGAACTGGATGGTCGCCGGAAGGGACCGCTGGCTAGAGGAATCTTGAATGAGGGAGAAGATGCTCTGAGTGAGGCTGCGCTTGATCTTGGCGTGCGGAGATTCCTGAAGACTGAGGCGCAGGGTGGAAATCCAGACCTGCGATTCAGCTTGGTGAGCCTTGGTCCTCTATTTGACTAAAGTGCTGCTGTTTGATGGCGCATCTGATTTGAATCGATCATCATGGATGGCGTTTTTGATCGTTTTTGGTCATAATTACGGTCAATTTCCGACTTATGTCCGCAGAACTGGCATTGATGCATTAACATCAAGCTCTCAGCAACAATCTTGCGGTTATCTTGCCCATTGAGTGCGTGTTGAACACCATGTGTATGTTTTGATACATTCATTTTCTGGATACTACTAGGACACTAGCTAATCCTTTACAGCCATAGTGCTCCCTAAAGTAGGAGAACTCACGGAGTCCGCAGCGCGTATGTCTGGAGGTTTTGCGGGGCCGGCCGTCATGATATTCCCACCAGCCTTTTCGTCATCAGTATCCAATTGATCATCTCGATCACTCTGAAGCGTGGCGCTTCCTTGTGTATCGAGCCTTAAGAATGGCACGATGAACAGAGAAGCTCCTGCAGCCGCCGCCGCAAACCAATAAACCGCTAAATATGGGTCGATAGCAGGAGAGGAGCTCGTCGTTTTATTTGAAATGGAAGAACTGATAGAAGTGGCTATGCCAACACCCAGATTGCAGCATAGTTTGTTCACGGTGTTCAAGATTCCACCGGCAATAGATTGTTGCGTTGGCGGAAGGGTGGACATCACGTACATCTTTGCAACCTTAGTTTGTCTTCGTCTTTCGGGGAATGAAGCATATAGGGAAAACATACGTTTGTGACATTGTATTGTATGTCAGATCCAGCCACAATGAGAATCAGCGCTGGGAAAATGTATGCCCAGTATGTGGCGTCCTCCTCCATGAAACTCAGTATCAAGAAGGATCCCGTGTATCCTAGCGCTCCAATCCCAATAAGAAACGTACTGCTGACGCGATGTAGGAGCAGACCACAGATTAAATTGAAGATCACGCCGCCAACAACCATGGGAAGTAGCCTGAGGGTGATCTCAAGAGCAGTCAGGTGTTTAACCTTCTGAAGGTAGAGAGAGAGATAAAAGAGAACGGCAGAGAATCCCATGACACCGAGACAGAATGTTGCCATAAGCTGGTGAAAATGTCAGCTCCTGATCATCATCGTTTAAAGGGCGGAAGACAAACGAGGGAAAAGGTGCGGTCTTTCCACATCCAGAGAGGCATCAAAGGGGTCTTCGCAATTGACTGCCAGTATACAAATGCGACAAGAAAGAAAAGCCCCCCGATAAAAAGAATAAGGACATAGTTCGTTTTCCAGCCACGAGGAGCATCACCAGCAAGGCTAGAAATAACGTCAGTCAAGCTCCAAATATCAACAGATTGCTCGCAACACATACGAGAGTGAGCTCGAGAACAACGCAAACCCAACAACGATGAGCACTGTCCCCCAAAGATCAAATTTACCCATTGCCTCTTTGCTCAAAGGCTTTCTGGTAAATTCACCCCCGGGCACAGTCCACACGGTAAGAATCGTGAATATAGCATATACAACGGCGTGGGCCCAGAACGAGGCACGCCAGTTATAAAAGTGAGATGCGACGCCCGAGATGATCATACCACCGACAAACCCCAACGGATTACCGGCGCTGAAGCAGGCAAAAGCCCAATTCTTGCGCTTTGAGGGTTTGTCGTATACCGAGCCCAGTGTCCCAACGGCTGGTGGAACAACAGCTGCAGCGAATAAGCCTAAAACCCCGGAAAATACATCCATATAGATGGCGTTTGTTGCAAAGCCAGCGATCAACATTGAGACCGCAAAGCCAGCCATGCCAATGATGAACAGTGGTCTGCGACCAAACATGTCGGCGAGGTTTCCAAAAGTCAGGAGGAAGGCACCACTAGTGAGGCTTTTTTTTACTATTAGCGATGGCGCACATATTGCGGGTTGGGATTCGGAGTAATACAGCGTCTACCTAGTAGTTTGGAGTAAACGAGGGAAGAACACATTACTTACGAAGCACCGGCGTTGATCCAGGTAATCTCGGCCTGGTTCATGTTCAAATCGCTGCCAATTGAGGCAGTCAATCCGACGATGCAGCCCTGGAAGAACGTCTGTTGGCCTATAGCCATGGTGGCAGTCAAGACAAATAGCACTTCCTGAAATGTGCTCTTGAAGCAGCTGGGCCGTCCCCCGTTGCTGTTCTCCGAGACCTTCCCTTCGGGGCTATTGTTTTCTTGGTCTTGTGGCATTGTCAGACTATTAGGGTGGTATTTTCAGAGATGGCAGCCCGGATAATGGGCCAAGTTGATTTGTGATATCACACAGAGAGAGGGAGAGAGACGGACAGAGAAGGAAGAAGGACAATGGGATATTCACAGCCAGACAGGACTTTTCGACTTTCCGACTCTCGGGGGATAAATGCTACCTTTCCACTCTCAACAATTCTTGCACGCATGTTTATCACTATGATCACTGAATGTTTTGATATCACATTCTATAAGCGGCGGTATTCCGCGCAGCGTTGGGCTCGGCAGGTGCCGATCAAGTTGGACTCGTCAGATGCATGAACGACTCACTAGTCGACCAAGCCTGCTTAAAGTCCATCCTAAACTGCACTCCTGAAAAGGCCCCTGTATCTTCATTGAAGGCTAGCCATGAAGCGCGCATGACAACCTATCAAGGCCAATGGTTTATTGTCCTGTGATCCATTCATAGCCTGTTTCGCTAGGGTCAGCCCAGCACTCGCAAGCATTGAACTTGAAGACTTCATTACCAACAGCCCACCAGCCAGCTGTTAGATTGCGTGCAAAGACCTCAAGGGCGGAATACGACTGCGATTGACCAGACTCGAAGAAAACTCTCTCAAACATGCCCTTCAAGTTTGGTTTGCGAGAATGCAGGTCTGGAACGGCAGCTATAACCCGTCTAGTAGTGACAGACTCACTTATGAAAGCTAAGTCATCCATTGTGGGGAGTGACGGCCTCAGCTCCTCTGAGATAGGCGTATCTGCGTCTCTGCGGCCAATGACAAGAATCTCGTACGGCTTTCGCCAGATCCCGTCCAGGACCGAGATCGGTTGGCCATCGATAGTGGTTTTGATCCAGACCCATTCCTCGCAAATGCGGAATCCAGAGCCTACCAGTGCTTGATAGGCTGCCTTGCGAGATTTCTCAGCATTGGTGATCCATATAGCAGCTATTGACTGCGAAGCACGGGACTCAGGTGGGGACTCGGTGCATGAGGCTTGCGGTGTAGCTTCTGGGTTGTATGAGTGTTTTCGAAGGATATCCCTTAGACCCTCGGCTAGAACCTCCATTTCGGAGTAGTGATGTGTTTGATAGTGCGCGCTGCGCCGGACAGATCGATTTGGCCATGGTGGATCCATGAGGATGAGATTGAATTTCTGATGCGAGGACAGACCGGGGATGGGGTAGGAAGATGATGAACGGTTATTCGGAGTCTCAAACAGAGGTAATGTGCCAAGTATAAAACTTGACTCAGGAGGGATCATATATGATGAAGGAACCATGTTTCCATTATGGGATATTTTGATGATTGCCGGTTCAGGAGATGGGTTCTTCACTACGTTCAGATCACATAATGACCTGAACTCGTTTGGCGAGCTCGATGATAGAATCAATGGTGGTCCGTCGCTGAATACATGATCACAGCAGATATTTGGCGTATTCTCTTTTCTTCGCTTTCGTGAAACTGCATCTTTTGAGACTGGAATTCTATGCTCTATCGGCACAAGCCGATCGAGCCCCCAGCGAGTTGAGGATGTCGCAGCTCTGATTCTTTCCAACGAATGTTTCACGAGAGGCAGGATGATTTCGGAGTGAAACCGCCTCTCGGATATAGGAATTGTCTGGAGAACATTGGCACGAGCAGTGGGGTTTTTAGGCTCAGTAGATGGGTATGGCTCTTTCAGAGGCCTGCACGAAAGAAGACGTTTTTGCTCGATTGACGAGCTTTTCGGGCTTGACTGTTGGACGGGAAGCCTGCCTTGTGCAATGGTAATTGACCGTGGAATATCGATCAGCACTACCTTATCACCCTGGAAGATAACAGCAGTGTCGTCTTTGTGATCCATTTGGTGAAGGGATCTCAAGGTTGTTTCAGCGGGATGAGTTGGGTTTTCTCTCCGCCTTACACCTGGGCACATTCACCTGGGGAATCGAATATACTACATCTCTACTTCTTTGCAAGGTTATTGCGTCGCTCTTCTTTTATCTTGCCAGGTGTATATATCATTGCAGTGCTACTTTCACACACGAATCTTCTGGAACCTAAAGGCAGCTTACAGTGACCAGCAAAGTCTGCAACATCATTTCATGCAGTCAACCCAGTCTGAAAACAATAGGTAGAAGAAAAGTCCCATCGTAAGATCACAAGATACATGGTCATTCCAAACGCTCGAAGATACAAAAACAAGGTCTCAGCACGAGACACAAGAATTTTTCACCACCAAAATGCCCCGGTACCCGGAGCCCCAATCTCCCCTGCCGGCGATCCAGCGTCCGATCAGGGTGAGGGGACGTGGGACGGTGAAATCACACGTTAAATAAAACCCCGGTCTCCATGAAATACTTCGAAAAGAAAGGAAAGAGAAGATGATCGAAATTTGTACATATAGGAAAGCAGATCCATTATAAGATGACGGGCCAGTTCACCGCTGCCGGGATGTCAGTGGGGATGGACGACACGGTTTAGGGCCGATCAGAGAATGAACTCACCCGTCCACGCCGACCACCTTGACCCTGTACTGGCTGTGCCTGTTGATAATATTGCGGGGGATATTGATACATCTGCGCGGGGTTGACAACGGGGCTGAACTGCTGGTAGTTCTGGCCGAGTATCGGGTTGGGGCCAATGTGACCAGGCCCAGCAGAAAGCGGCGCGGTTTGCTGCGGCTGCAACGAGCGAAGGTTGTCTGCAGGCGAGCCGCCAGGGTAGCCGTAGTTGACGTTAGACATGCCCGGGTATCCGGGGGATACGCCACGAGCCTGAGCGGCGAGGTAGGCCTGGTATTGAAGCTGTTGCTGGCTAAGGGGCTCCGGTCCAAAGCCAGGTCCGCCGGGCACGCCGTTCAATGGATTGTTCCCAAGGCCGTTGGAGTATGGATCAAGAGGCGAAGGATTGTTCTGGTCGGAAGAGATAGGGCGGGAATCAGGGGTTTGGCCATACATGTTGGGAGCAAATTGCTGTTGTCCATTGTACTGTCTGTCCATGGACGGCTGGGCGGGATAGCCCGTGCTGCCATGTCGGGAGGATTGGCGGTGCTGCGACTTCTCCGGGGTCCCAGCTCCGTGCTCTCGGCCGTGGTGTTCACGGCCACTGCTGCGAGAAGAGAGACCGACCTCATCCATCAGACGCTTGTATCCTTGGCTCGGGGAGGCCTTGAGCTTAGTGAGAACCTTGGATACATTTTTGACAACTTCGCCTCGCATAGACTCATCAAAGAACGGCGTGGTGAGGACCTTGAATATCAGAGTAGCACCAGAGGTCTGGTCGCTCAAAATCTTTTCCAAAACCTCATCACCTGTGCTGAAGAACAGTGCTTTCAGGACGATATCACGGGCCTCTGGCTCGTTGCGTTGATTGATGACCTTGAGGACGGTCAGGTAGGCAACCTTGTGGGTGCAGAGATGAACAAGATGGGGCACAAGTCTTGGGGCCAAGACTGTTCGGCGTCGGGGGAAGGTGCAGGTATCAAGGAACCAAGTTAGCAACAGAGCCCCGTTCGCGTTGGTAGCCAACTGCACACTGTGGAGAGCAATCGCAGACGCAAGCATGCGCTGTTGGTCCTTAGTGGCATGGTGGCTTTCCAAGCAAGCCCGCATCGCGCGAGCACCAAATCGTCCCTGTGCGACTTCCCACAGACGGTTGAGCATGGATTCAAAAATGAAACTGTTGAAGGGGCTGGCAAACCGCAGGCAGCATTGCAAGACATAGTTACCATACTGATCCAAAAATAGGGGGACGGTGTATGGTCGTAGGGCATCAACAATCAGCTGCATTTGTGCGGGAGTTTTGGCAACATCGATGATTTTCTGCGCCGCCCAGGTTCCATTCTTGTGGACACCAATCTCGGAGAGATGGGGAGCAATGTGAGTTAGCATTTGCTCCTTGGTGGCTTCCGAGCAGAACTCGAACAGCTTCTGGACTACAGTGTTGCCTAAATAGTCAGAAGCCAGCTCCGCAATTTCAGGAAGCATAGCCTCGGCAGTTTCCTCGATCTCCTGGATCGAGCAGGCGCCATTATCGATACGCTTGCGGATGTCACGAAGACGAGGCGCATCGAACATGCGGGACTGGCTTGGTTCTTGAACAGAGGGGATTTCATCTTCAAATTCCTGGAATGAGATGGAGGTCTGGATGCAAGCCGTGATGTTCTGAACATCAGTCTCACTGGCACCAAACTCTCGCACAATCTGCACCATATCAGGTAGCAGGTCCGCCAATGCTGCCACCTGAGGGATAGTGTGAACATTCTCGGCCCGGTCCGAACCATCTCCTGGAGCAAGGTTGGATCGGAAGTTTGGATCAGGGGTCGGGGAAGACTGAATGCCGTTGGCGCCCGGGGTGCCAGTTGCCGAAGCACCAGGGACCTTAGCATAGCCAATTCTGACAGGTCCGGCGCCAGGGAAAATTTCCTTGCCATTGAGCAGTGACTTAGCCTGGACGGCACTGTCGAGACGATCAAAGTTGACGAAACCGCAATTCTTGTGGGTAAGCACACGGGTTGACTCGATCTTTCCATACATGCCGAAAATAGCTTCCAGGGATGTGACAGTGGTGGAGACTGGGATGCTTCCAATCCACAACGCCCGGGTAGGCCCGTCCTGGTTGTTCTCGTCGGACATCTCAGCGGCCTGGCGGGCGCCCAAAGTAGGAATGCCAGCACCACCGAGATTCATGAGCTGAACTGCCTCGGATAGTTCGTCATATTCCAGGTTCTCAGGGATCTGCAAATCAGCAGCACTAAAGCTGTTGTCAAGACGAGAGGGGGTTGCGAGGTAGTTGCGAATGGACGATCGCTGGGGAGGAGCTTCCAGAATACCAGCAGTTCGAGCCCGGGGTCTGCTCACGGAAGCATGGCTGGCAAAGGCCTGGACCGCAAGGTTGTGCTGGTGGATTTGGGCCTGAGTGGCCGCAAGCTGAGCAGCAGTTGCAGCGGCAGATGGAGTCATGGTGCCCGAGGGGACTTGAGAATAACGATTCTCATATTCGAGGTCCTCGTCATCCGCGTATTTCTCCTTAGCGTTGACGGAGTATGAGCGGAATCGACTATTATTTTTTATCATTGCCAACTCAGCCAGGAGTGGCGGCAGCGCAGAAGCTTGCTGCTGCTGCTGTTGCTGCATCAATTGCTCCATAGATGGGCGCGCAAGGGATGCCATCGCCTGCTGAGGAGTCTCAGCAAGCCCCAGATAGTCCAGTGTTTTCACATCGGTGTCCGCAAGACCATCCCTCGAGAAGGAGGAGTGACTCGGCGAGGTAGGTCCCTCCGAAGAGCGAATACTCGTCAAGGTTGTAGCCCTCTCGCGGCCTGAAGACCAATTAGTTGAGAACAGCGAAGGGCCGAAGGGGCCGCTTCCGCCCAAAAAGTTGCTCCTTTGTGGCATCGAACCCGCGCGAAGACGGGAAAGAGACGCCGGGGCGGGCCCGGCAGCCGAGCTCGCAGGCTTGGAGCCCGTGTCGATCCCAGACACACCGGGAGGCCTGAAAGGACTGGTTGAGGGTGTCGGGCGGGAGGTCTGCGATGCGAAGGGCTGCTGGAGGTCCATCTCGCTTAGTGTGCCCATCGGAGGGAAACGAGATGGAACCGTTCCTGCGCGGGCTCGGCGACTGGGGCTGCCAATAGAGCCATTGGTGGTGGGAATTAGATCGGGGAAGCTGTCCTGACTCGGCGATTCAGGGATATTTTCACGGAGCGGGGTTGAATGGCCGCTTGTGGGAGGGCCCCAGATGCTAGGCGAGACACCTTCTTGCGCCTGGATTTCGCGGGCTCTATGAGGAAATTATCAGTGATTGTTCCGAAGTGGTTTGCTCCAATATCACCTACCGCTTCGAGTACAGCCGTGATCCCAAGTCGTGAGAAGGGGAGCCAGCTCCCGGCCTTGAACTCCCAATGGAACCCGGAGAGGGACCAAATGACATTCTGGAATTGCCAGATCCCGGGTCACTCGGAGAGCTGCGGCCTGTCGAGGTACCCGACATTGGCTGAGTTGTTGGAATATAGTTGAAACTCATCTGTCCTTCTGGTCGTGAAACCGGTAGCATTATTGATTATCGAGTGTAGCCTGCAGCGAGGCAGTACTTGAGTGTTTTCCAATCTGTGGCCTTTGCGCGAATTCCGAATCGGTCTGTAAATGTGGATTTGGATCTCAGAAAAGTGAGACTGGCATAGAATAGGGACGGGATCGAAAATTCAGGGCGGAGTGTCGATGAGAAACGAAGGCGAACTAAGGATGAAAGGCGATATTAGACGAGGTTTACAACGGGGGGTGTTTTGCCGTGACCGGAGGGGAGTCGCAGAATCGGGAGGGGTCGACAAAGCCTCTAAAGCCATGGAATCAAGTGTGATCGCAGCAGACCTGATTGATTCCCAAATGCAGTCCCCGGTCTTCGTGTTCTTTGAGATTCTTACCGTGCTTCTTGTCTGACAATCTGCGGGCGTCCCAAAGCGATCGAGTTCAGAATGGGAGGGGAAAAAATAGAAATTCTTTCTATGCCGGGGATTCGTCAAAGGCTTAAAAAAACAATATGCACAATGATCGTCAGGCACAGAGTGCGTCAAGTACGAAGTCAAAGGAATAGGATGAGAAGGCTGATCCTAAGGGATTGGAAGGTGGCTGGACGAATTAGTGGGCGACGTGGAAAAACAATGCCACAACTAACCGACAGGTGAGAGCTCACCCTAATGCAAGAAGCAAGAAACAAGCAAAGAAGAAAAAAGAGAGGGGAAGAAGTCAAGGGAGGATGAAGGGGAAGAAGGAGAAGAGAAGAGAGAAGAGAGAGAGAGAGAGAGGAGAGATGTTGGGGGAGCTGGCCGGATGCCCGAGGAAGATGGCTGTGGTTGGTGGAGAGCGTCCTCTTCAGCTTCATCCACAATCCAATTGTTGATTTCGCTGCGAGTTTCGAGTATGAATTGTGTTGTCATTGGCTCTATGGAGTACTGAACTTGACTATATTTTGGGTCCGGCGTACAGTACGTCTGTTTGGTAGCCTGATGCGTATAGCTCACATCTATACAAATTCGTCCCGTGGACAGTGTCTCGATATGACACAGCCCCAAGGTCAGACCTGGAAATGTTCGTTGCCTTGGGTCCTGAATCTGATGCTACACATCTGCTCTACTATATGCCCGTTCAGTCTTCATTCGACAACCTACTCGGCAAAGAGAGTGAAGCAGCCCCGCATTCCACTGCGTCATGGTCTTAACATGGATCCATCCGCTTCAAGGCGAAGTGGATGGAGACCTTCGGACACCTTGGACACAGAATGCAGTGTGTATCCCTCTCTCTGGGTATGATGCAATCATGCAAGGAGATCCGTGTGTATTCTGAAACCCGGGCTGGTGTTTGGAGGCGCGCAAGGGATGGATCAGGTACGTGTCCCCCGGGGCCGTATTTCTCGGTGTGTCAGCTCTCTGGCCCTGGGCAGAGGTATCTTGGCAGATGAGGCTCAATGCACCAGTGTTCCCTATTCCCAGGGAGGATGCTGGGTATAGTGCGCCCGTGATAACACTATAGATATCCAGCCCGCCAAGCTTCTAGAAGGGTTCGGCACCGGGGGAGCCGGGAGGTTCGGGGGTTTAGGTCGGTTTAGTGCTCCAGGTGGTCAACACCCTGAACCCAAGTCGGTCCTCAATAGCCTGTAGAAGTCAAACTGTTCGTAAGACCAACCGGATCCTGCCGAGATGTAATCCGTATGGGTCATTGGCATAGCCATGGTTACAATCAGTTGACAGCTGTATGGTCGATTTGAACAACCTGCCGCGCGTGTCCGTTTATGGGTGAACCGGCTTCCTCTTGACAACAGTCAGATCCCAATAAAATCCAGAGGCTCCTGTGCCCTCGTTGGAGGTGTTTCGGGACCCAGTATCATTGCACCGAGTGCCGGTGAGGATCGCGGGCACTTAAGGACTGACGTTGAGGGGACCATGGCATTCACGCCTAAGGCACCAAATTTCTTTTCGCGCCACTGCCTGTTCAAGCCACAGCTCTCCTTCACATCCATCCATCATTGAAACGGCGTTCATTCAAGCATCCAGCCTCACAACCTTGGAAGTTCATGCTCGGGTCATCACGTATCTTCGGGCTACCAGTCGAATTTGAAGACAGTTTTGTCGCGCGCCGCGTCCCCGTCACGCGTTCAATGCCAACCCGATCCATTTGATTCGCCTCACAACTGCCATGGCCGATCTCATAGAGTCAGACCCAAAATCTGGGCTTCAGTCCTCGGAAGAGGACCAAGAAGTCCCCGTGGAGTCCCTGGTCAGCGGGCGGGCGAAGCGAAGCACCGCAGGACGGCACATGTCTGCCCTCCTTGAGGCTGCCGCAGATGACGACCTAGCGCTCCTCTTCGAGGAAGTCGAAGACGATAATGAATTTGCAGATCTGATTGATCCTGATGCGGAAGACGACGTGGGCCTGGAATCGTCGGATGATGAGGAGGACCAAGGTCCGAACGCGCAAAACGACTACGAAGGCGAGCAGCAACTACAAAAGGAGGAGCGCAAGAAGCGCAAAACACAAAACGACCTGAGGTTTCAAACCTTGCGCAAACGAGTCAAGATCGATCCGACCGCCCCGTCGTCCATGCCCGCTGCCCCTCGCCTCAAGAAGAAATCAGAGCGCATTTCGTGGATTCCTACTGTGGAGGACGGGCCTACTCGCCAGTCGTCGCGTCGGCAAACAATGGTCAATAAGGAGCTCACGCATGCTCGGTTGAAGGATAGCCAAGAGAAACGAGTCCGCATCATCGCGACCATGAAGGAGGCTGAAAAGCGGAAAGCACACCTGAAGCCCAAGGAAATGACGCAGGAAGATCACCTTGCGGAAGCTGCTAGGATTGAACGACTTAACAGCAAAAGTCTCAACCGCTGGGAGCTATCAGAAAAAAGAAAGGCGGACGAGAGACGGGCCAGGATCGAAGCACTCCAGAACCGTCGCCTCGATGGACCCGTCATATCCTACTGGAGTGGCATGGCTACTTTCACTAATGGGCGTCTGACGCGAGTTGGCACTGTCGATATCAAGCCCAAGCCTGACAAAGAGGAGGCGCGGAAAAAGAAGAAGGAGAAGGAAGACAAAGAGAAGGCGGCGGCAGAGCTGCGTGCATTGCAAGCCGCTGCTCCCATCGCCGAGAACAGCGGATTGCCCCTGGTCGCTGGTCCTCCTTCTACTACCACAACCGCACCACAGCTGTTGCCCGGTCCCATTCCAGCTGGGGTTGCCGCTGGCCCAGGCTCGTCAGCTCCACCCAACCCTGAACTACCGGTAGAACAAAAGCAACTTGAGGGAACCACAGTATCCGAGAATGCTACATCTCCGGCTCAAGAACCACCCCACAATACTGCTGATATTCCTGCACAAATTGAGGAGGTGAACTCCAACAAGCCAGATTCGAGCCATTCCGAACCCAAGCAACCTTCGGAAGCGCCGAACTCTGACCAAGACAAGAGCAACCAAGTAGAGCAGCCTTCAGTGCCAGCAACTGCACCGGAGCTTCTCTCGGGGCAAGATAAGAACTCTGCAGAACAGGCACCCTTGGAAGATGCACCTGTACCACAGCCACCAACAGTGACACCAAAGCGCCAATCATTTGCAGTGGAGATTACTGTACCCCGCCATCTATCGCTATCTAGCAGCAAGCCTGCACGCAAATCACCTGAGCCATCTTTAATTAGGACTAACGATGATATGGATATTGATCCCCCCGCATCGGCTACAGCGGTTACAGAAGGTCCGGGTGTCCAAGAGACTACGAGCAAGTCAGAATCGGCCACACCAAATCCTGCAGGGGCCCAATCCCTGGCCGAACCACCCCAAGCCAATACCGAAACGACTGTACCTCAGAAATCGCTGGACGAGTCTCAGCCTATTGAACCGGTCACGTCTATCAGCCCTGTAGTAGCACTGGCCCCTCATGCCGCGCCGGCCGCCGTGGTACCTACTCAAGCCACGGTGCCCGAAAGCGCCCTCCCTCCGAGCCTAAACCAACCATCCACCTTACCGTCCGGGCCACAGCCGCTGAACGTGAAGATCGAAGCGCCTGCACCGGAAGTACCACCACCTCCTCCGGTGGTCGAGACAATGGGGCGCACCGTCACGATTTTGGAAAATTTCGATTATGCGACGGCGCAAAAGCCAAAGTACAGCATGTACTTCAATGCCAAAAAGCCACCCCGGCTGACGAGTACGTTGCATGATTTCTACCAACTGTTCCCTCACGATTTGTACTAACCTCCACAGAAATCTCGTCATCACTTTGCGTCATTACCTCATTGCCTTCGCGATACCGCGACCCAGAGACCGGTCTGCCCTACGCCAACTCCTACGCCTATGGGCAAATCCGCCGTCTCATCACCGATGGATACATCTGGAGCGCGATGCTTGGATGTTTCGTGGGCCCGGCCGAGGCAGCCCGTGGAGTCCCTGAGCGATTTTCATTTGCCAGTAAGATGGGCCCAGGCAGGTTTCTTCCAGACCGTGGCCTGGATGAGCCGATTCCAGAACTTCCCAAGGCACCCGCTGAGACTCCCTCTACCCCTACCCCGGCGACTAAACCGCCTCAAGCGCCTCAATCAGGGCCGGAGCCAATGAAGATAGATTAGCCAACTATTTGTCCTGTACGATAGTGTTTAAGTAGATACCCGAGAATTGCGAGAGTTATTACCTCCAGAATGTATTACGTTTATTGACATCGAAGTAGAGTATGTCATTGACCCAGAAAAAAAAAAAAACATTGGGGTTCCCGAGGGTCCAGGGATCGTGAAGACTGGAACATAGTGGAGTCTGTCGACGTAAACAAGATTCTGTTTTCTTTTCTTCACTTCGCAGTCTGGAACAATAGCCCCGGTTTTTTTTTATTTTTTTTTTTTATGTTATTTTTTTCTGAGACGAAACCCCCTCGGAAGATCGACAATTAGACCATAGCCATCTGACGACGTTGGCCCACGTACTAGTGCTCCGTACCCCATACATCGTGTGTATTGTATCGCTTGGCTTGGACTTACGTGTCCGTGTGGCAATTGTCAATCTAGATCCGGGGGGCTGTTTCGGCGATCAGCGTCTCCCGGGCTAGCCCTTGCCCTACCGTACAGACAGTACAAGGACAGTCCTCGATGAGGAACAGTTGGGCTGAAGCATTTCACAATCCGGTTGGATGGCGTCATGTGCAAAGACCGGATATCGCAGACTACGCCATTAGGGCCTACTTTATGTGAAGTCTGGAGAGAATCACGCCAGATCCGATCCCCTCCGGAGATATGCACCCTGCGCTACTGCAGCTCATATGCAATAGACCTGGATGTCGACATCTGTGCGTTTCAGGAGGGGGATATCATCCATACCCAGATAGAAGGCCTAGAAGGTTACCCCATAGTGGAGTTCATTGTATTCTTCAAAGAGAGATCGCACAAGTCGAATATAATTATAGAACGTCAATGTCACCGTGACTCAGTCTAGAATCAACAATTGCGTAGTTGCGCGGCCGCGTACCCGGGAAGTCACTGTCGCGGGACCCGTCGGGCAGAGAACAAGGTATTACAGCGTATTACCGTGGAAGAGCGTCGGGACAGCCAGCGATAAGGGTTTCCGGGGGGGGGCAAATGGGTCTGTCCACGGTGATTCGTGACTGACAGGTATTACCGTGACGAGGGGCAGTGACTTCCAAGGTACCCCCTCTCCACTTGGGCCTAGACGTCTGGAGGGGAGAACGTGTGGGATCAAGCGCAACACCCGTTTAATTCTTGGGTACTTATATTCGATTCTTCCTTCGTGTCACCACTCAATCACCTTAGGTTATACCTCGACTACAACACACACAGGTATGTCAATGACTCCGATGTCTCGGATCCTTATCTCGAGATAGCATTCGTCTTTGTCAACACACCTCCAGGGCTGGGCATGGCTAACCAGGGCTTATCAGTTCACTGCACGGCGAACACTTACATACCGGTCTTTGCTCGACATTCTGCTTCTGCACCGGCCCGGTTTCATTCTCGGATCTATCAGACATATAATCCCTCAGTCTGTGCTCCCTAGGGGCTCTTCGTGCTCCACACTTGATACTTTGATAAGAGGCATTTTCAAGCTTCACCGCCATGACTCAAACATCTCCAACCCATCGTCGTTCCCCTTCGACTCCTTATACCAAGTCCAAGCCTTCTCGTCCGGTGTTACATCGTCGAGGGACCTCCAGTGCCACCGTCACCATCTCCAAGCTGGGCTCAGGGAAGGATCGGGGAACAAAACCCACCCAAGACGACTTTGATATGGCCAGCTTCTTGAACTTTTGGTATGTGACTTCTTATCTATTCAGTCCTGCATGGGATCATTCACATGCCATCTGGTGTTGCCCGTGGTGTCGCACTCACCGGTCTTTGAGAGCAAAGCTAACCCTAATTCCAGCGCCATGTGCGAAAACCAAATCACAACACCCAACAATTCTATCCTATACTGCAGCGAAAGGTATGTGGCAAAAGTTTATATATATCCTATCTCCCGCCCCGTTCCCAATCCTTTGTTGATCCAGGGGACCTGCATCGAACTATAAACTAATCCGTTCCAGCTGCCGCCGCAAAGACTCCTGCAAACCACTCTCCGCATCTCTCCCCTCTATGCCCACCATGTCCACCACACCTCCAGCCTCTCCTCCTCTCTCCCCACGCACCATCGTGGCTCCAATGACGCCCACTCGGGTCCCATTCGGCGGGAATTCCAGCCACACCCACAACGCCAAGTCAGATCTCGACCCCACCGAGTGGAAGCCCGTATTACAGCGCAGCAGCTCGTCTCTCGCATCCTCCGAGGCCTGGAACTATCTTTCCCAGTTCCACGGCGACTCAATCCGGCCCACTATCCACCGCAGCTCTTCCAGCCTCCCCGCCCTGGCCGGCCAGACCCAAAGCCACCGCCACAGTCACAGCCGTGTGCCCTCGTTGACCAACACGCCCTCCGTGGCCTCGTCCTTCAGCAGCACCGCCTCTGACTACCTGGGCAGCATCAACGAGTCTCGCCCCCTGCCCCCACGCCACAACCCCTACTTCGCGGGCACGAGCATGAGCAAGGGCGTCGAGCTGGTCGTTCCCCACATCGCGGTCACCGACGATTTGGACCCTGTGAGCCTTTCTGATAGTGGCTCTATTTTCCCGGCTAGCAGTGCTGTTTGGGAAGATAGCTGCAACAAGCGCTCCAAGCCTATCACCATGAACCGGTGATTCGACGGCTGGCCCGTCTGACAGCAAGAGCGTTTATGCGAAACGATGAATCTTCTCTATGCTCTTGATTTTTTGTATTCTCTCACCGCGTTGTTTTTTTTTTTTTTTTTTTTTTTTTTTTTTTTTTCAATTCTCAGCACTTTCACCCCTTTCAATTCTTCGGGATTACCTTCATGGACTCAAGCGGACTGCGATTTACAGCGAGAAGAACGATATGATGGATTTTACTCTTACTACTTTTTATTCCCTTTCGGAGACCGACTATAGATTTTGATGCGATATATGAGACATTTAGATACAATGAACTATTCCAAATTATTACCCAATTTCTCCCATTTAAATGAGGAAAGTCTTTCCAGGGCTCGATCGCCTACTTAGATTAGGCAAGTCTCCCCTTTCAAGATTCCAACCTTGGAAGGTTGAGTTGGCAGTTTTCTCACTGCCCAGGTGGCTACATACTTCATTCACAATTTTATGACAATGTCGCCGAAATCCTTTTGTGTGGGCTGATCTTTAGCGGAAGATGGAAATAGATTCTGACCTGGGCAAACGCCACTGTCTCGGCTTGTCCGAGATTGCTCGACTACACCAGGCCGGTTCGAAAAGTCACTGCTTGACTGCTTAGCTGTATGGCGCTTCTTGGCCATGACCACAGTCGGTGTGTCATTACAACATCCATGGATCCACCTGGGTTATCTATCTGGGTATCTGGGCACGTTACGATACACTGAGGGCTTGTGCTCCAGATATATTCCCCAGGTCTTGGCACCCTTACGGATTCTATCATGTTACCCACCAGTTCACAACATTAATGGGCTGCCCAGGTATTTGCCTGAATTCTCTCAGGCATTAAATAGCCTAATTCCAAGTTGCAAACGAGGCGAACATGACACCTAGGGTTGTCGATGCTGGTCCCTTATATTACAGAACTGTGGGGAGCAACCTTGCAAGATGTGTTCGGTGTGCTTGGCTGTAGGTCAGTTGGGAGTACCTACCTAGGTATAATGTCGGACACTTGGATGTCAAGTCTACTTGGATGCCCTGAACTTGCAAGCTGGAGAATCCTTGGGATTACCAGGTACCCAGGTAGCCCTGGAGGCTCTAGGCCGCGATAACTTGGAACACAACCTTGGAAGTTACACAGTGTATCTATCGCCTTTGTCTTTCCTCTCTTTCGACTTTGTTCCTTCCAAGGTTCCAAGGCTGCCACCTCTGAATTTTTGGAGTATCCATGGATGCCTTTATTCTAGTTCGCTACCATCTCATATCCCCGAGGGTCACTTCTTGGAATTTCCCCGAACTAGGTATTCGGCCAATCGAAGGAACACCCGCGGGAAAAAATGTCTCTCACTTATCCTGATAAATATCAGCTTCCAAGCTCTGACTGAAGTCAAGTCGCTTCCAAGGTTCAATGCAATGACAACAGTCTCTAGCCCGACGGACTATGTGCTCCGAGGTCGACATCTCTATCCTGAATGTAACATTCCCATTATCAAATGACTACCTAAAGTGCCCACCTGGGCAAACATATGTACATGAAAGAATCAGAAGTCTCCAGCAGTGAAACAGCACATATAGCAGCCCTTGTCGGACTTAAAGACCGGCTCGACCTATAGATCCATTAGCACGAGAGATCCGAGACACCAAGTATCAAAGATGATGATTAACTTACACCATGACCATCGCACTTCGCAGCACGAGAATCAGCATAGCAACCACCAAAGCAGAAGCTATTTCCCTCATCCTCACCATGACGAGGGCTATTGGCGACAGCAGGCGCGATATTATTACCAGGCTCGAGCAAGTTGAGAGGCGCAATCCCATCCGAGCCATCGGCGGGCATCAAGTCGCGCGCATGGACATCAGATCGCTTGGCTGACTCTTGCACAGGGCCCTGTGAGCCGGCCATGGCTGGAGCATTGGGCATGGAGGCCGGTGATGGGCGGACGACCAGTGTACTCGGGGCGGAAAGCTGGTTTCTTCTAAAGAAGGATTCGAGGTCGGTGTTTCCTTCGTTACCAATGCCTTCGCCGGATGGAGTTTCGGGGCCCTGGCCTAGATCGATGTCGGTGTTCCCCTTGTTGCCGATGCCTTGGCCGGATGGAGTTCCAGGGCCCTGGCCTAGGTCGACGTCGGTGTTGCCGAGGTTGTGAATTTGTGGGGAGTCTGGGCCAAATTGTGGATGGGCATAGGCATGGGCTGAGGCGAGCGAGGCACCGAGGAGCAGAGTGAGGAGATTCATGGTGGGTTGGGATTTGAGGATTGTACGTATTCTTGCTGGTCGTCGTGGGTTGTTTGGTTGCAAGTAGGGGCAGGCGGGTTATTAGTATTGTTTATGAGGCATTCTTCCATAGCTTAGTCCTTGCCAGGGATCGTGTTTTGGTTGGCATTCT